AATAATTCAATTTTTTATTATGTATTTTTCATGATTTGAAGACTTTATATAGTCTTTAAAAGACTTGATAGTATTTAAATAGTTGAAATGAAAGGCGGTGCCTAAAGTATTTTTTTTAAGTTCATTATTTTTTTTTCTTTTTAGAAAATCTATTTTCTATAATATTGTGTTAAAAAAAACGTTAACATTTTATATTTTATTTGAACAGAAGATAACGATAAGTTTAATTCTTGCAAAAGAAAGCACTTATAAGTTAATTCTACACACAAACACACACAGAAATACGTTTATTTTTTACGTAAGTGCCAATAAATTAATTTCAATTTTTTATTTAAAATGAAATAATTTAATTTTGAATTAATTGTATTTTTGATATTTGAATAATTAATTATTATTTTGAACAATTACATTTTTCAATGATTTCAAAATAATTAAATTTTTATTAAAAACAGAATAATTTATTTTTGAATTAATTAAAATTGTTTGATTTATTTTTGAATAATTAATAATTGACTTTTGAATTATTTAAAATTCAAATATTGTAAAAAATTAATAAAATATTTAAAAAAACAATTTATTTTTAACATAATAAAAAAAGTAATTTATTAAAATACTAAATTCAAATAGATTTTGAATTGCAATTATTTTTAAAAATAAATAAATTTTTTGTGTAAAATCATTTTTTTAAAATTAATTAAAATTTGAAACAATTGAATTTTTTTTTTCATTTTTGAAAAATTAATTATTTCGAACAATTTTTTAAACATAAAAGAACCAGGAGCTATTATCACTCATAATAGCAATCAAAAAAAGCACACACTAAAGGGATCGCTCTTCCCAAAAAATTTAGACTCTAGATCCTGCACTGTATAAGTTAATAATTGAAGATTAATTAAATTTTTGAAAAATTAAATATTAAAAAATTAATTATTTTGAATAATTAATATTATTGAATAGTAATTTACGAAAACGACCAATGTAATAAAATTTAGAACGATATTTTTTATTGATTCAGGAAAATTGAATTTTTTAATTAAAATTAATAATCGTTGAAAATTGAAAATAATACAACTTTTATTGACAATTCGATATTTCAGTTTTTTTAGATTTTAAAAATGCATAAAATTTTCAATAATAATAATAAATCAAAATACAATAAATATTATCAATTATAATTATAAATAAAAAAAAATAATAATAATAATAATAAGATATACGAATAAAATTTGTTTTTAAGTTATTTTGAGATTTTTATTTAACAAAATAAAATGAAATAATATAAATGATTTAATTAAGAAGAAAATTTTAATTAATAATTAGAATTTACCAATCTACAGTTTTTTTTCCACTGAAAACGGTAACCTCTCGCCTGATACCAGATATTTTTCCACGATTTTTCAAACACAATAATTCTTGTCACAATTTAACGTTTTTTAAAAACACCCGCACTACCGCATAACATAACATCGGAAATGTCAAAACATCACGAAAAATATAAACAAACAAAAAAATCATGATAATAATTCGCAAATGATAACTAACAACTAACTTCATACTGCGAACGGACAGAATGAAAAACCACAGACTTTAATAAAGTTAATTGTATAAAAATAATTAAAATCTATCGAAAAATTTAATTATTTTTTATGAAAATATTTGAATTCTTGGGAGATATTTGAAATTTTATTATTTGTAAAAATAATTGAATTCTTGCGAAGAATTTTACTATTTTTTTTAAATAATTGAATTCTTGCGAAGAATTTTCTTATATTTTTCTTAAATAATTGAATTCCTGTGAAAAAATTTAGTAAAAATAATTGAATTCTTGCGAAGAATTTTATTAAAATCTTTGGAAATAAATTGATTTTTTTGAATCATTTTATTAAAATTAAAAAGAATAATTCAATTACTTCAAATAATTTAATTAAAAGTGCATTATAAATAATTGAATTCTTATAAACAAAATTGTTTGCAATTTTTGAAAATATTTACATTTTTCGTGGAAATTGTTTAAAATTGTATGTATTAAAAATAATTGAAATTCTGCGAAGAATCTTATTATTTATGAAAATAATTGAATTCTTCCAACGACTTTTATTAAATTTTTTTTAAATAATTCAATTCCTGCACAAAAATGTATTATCAAAAATGATCAAATTCTTGGAACAATTTTATTAAAATTTTTGGAAATCATTGAATTTTTTTGAATCATTTTATAAAAATTTAAAAGAATAATTCCATTATTTCGAATAATTTAATTAAAATTGTATTAAAAATAATTGAATTCTTATAAATAAATTTTTGAAAACATTTTTGAAACAAACAAATTAATTTCTTTTGAAAAATTTTCTTGAAAATTTTATTTTAAATAATTGAATTCCTCTGAAAATTTTGTTATTCATGATATTAATGGAATTTTTGCGAAATATTTTATTATATATATTCTTTTTAATTAAATTCTTTTGAGAAAAATTACTTAAATAGTAGATATTGAAAATAATTGATTTTCAACGAAGAATTTCATTATTTGTGGAAATAATTGAATTCTTGGAAAAAAATTTCTTAAAATTTCTTAAATTACTGAATTATTAGTATTTCAAAGAATTTTATTAAAATTTTTGAGAATATAATTTGTATTATTATAATATATAATTTATTTAAACTATTAGCTGATTTAAAGTAGTGCAAATTCTCAATAAGAAGAAAAAGTAGATTTTAGTGTCACAAATCTGAAAAAATTTATCCAAATAGTAGTAAGTCGTAAAAAAAGTAGTAAATAGTAGGTTTTTGTAGTAGATGAGTGCAAAGCCTGTATTTTCAATAAAAAAATAGTTTTTATACCAAAAAAACTTTCTTTAAAAAAGAAATGCCAATGTGAAATATTGAAACAAAAATGACATAGAAATTAAAAATAAAAAAAGGATCAAGTACAAAAAAATTACTGTAATTTTAAAGGCACTATAAACTAAATATTTTGACTAGAAATTATTTGTGTGCCATCGCTACAGCATTATTAACTTATAGAATAAACGCTAAATCTATCATAGAATTTTTTTTTCTCATAACTACAAATAGAGCGATCACAACAGGCAAAAACTGCATTTCTCGATTATACATTTTACAACAATAGAACAAGAATACAATCTTATATAATTATAAACTCAACAAAAAAAAATTTCCTCTCTTTCAAAAACAAAAGATTCGATATTTCTTCTAATTAACTTCTAACATATCTTTAAATTTCTCTTCTATTTTTTTGGTAAAGAATTTCTCTTTTAGTCATTGAGAAATTCCATTCTTTATTCTGTTTTTTATTCTCTCCGTTTTTTTCTAAATTGGCGTATTATCCAGTTGGTTAATCGCCGCTTTGTTATTATATTTTTATAAAAAAGAAAAAAAATGAATTTTTATAGAAATCCATACAAGTCTTTTTTTAACCAAAAATCAAGCATCTCTAAAAAGTGGTTTTTTTCTCTTATTTTCAGAAAAACGGAATATTTTTTACCACATGTATATAAATACTCTTACAATTAATTTGTGAACAAGTGAATGGATTTTTTTTGCATTAATAATTGTTTTTTTTTCTGTGGTGTTTTTTACCGCTAGATAGAAACTATGGTTCCAAACATTCTCCCTACAATTTATAGGTACAAGTATTGTCTATTATAGAATTTATGTTCGCTATATTATTATTATAATAATCATTATTATTATAATTATTATTATAATTATAGTTATCATTATTATTATTATTATTATTATTAATATTATAGTATAATTATTATTATTGAAATATAAGCCGTGAGAACACGCAATTTGAGTCTCTTTCTTTTACTTTTGTAAAATTTCACATCTCATCTCGCAAGTATTTTTTTTATAAAATAGAAAGATTTTTTTTCTCTAATCTTCGTCGTACGCAATCACTAATTTATTATTATTATTTTTCTCTCTCTTTGCCATTAGGACAATTTTTTGATCATTCACCTCAATTTTTTTTTGTGAGCAAAACAATAAAGAATTGTCTCTTTACAAATTCAAGTATTTTCCAAATCTACATTTCAAAACTTCATGATCGCAATTTAAAAAAACAATTGTAAAATCTTTCACAAATTTGGAATTTCTGTTTGCTTTGAGAACATTAATTAACCGAGACTAAAATTATCACAAAAATTAATTTAAAGATTAAATTAATAATTAAATAATATAAAAGAAGAATTAGAAAAAATCCCAAAACTTATTAATTAAAATAATTCTTTTTGAATTCTTTGCAAATTCTTTTTGAATTCTTTTCAAATTCGTTTTGAATTCTTTCTTAATTCTGTTTAAATTAGTTTACAATAAATTAATTACACTTCTTAATTAACAATAAATTATATTCAAAATAATCACATTCAAAATTAATTTTAAAAGAAATTAATTACAACGAATATCAATTACAAAACAAATTAATTATAGAACAAATTAAACATAAACTGATTAAATAATTAAATTACAATTTAAAACTAAAAAATCACACTTTGAGTTAAAAGTATAAAATTAAAAAAAAATGTTTAAAAGAGTAAAAACAGAGATAAAATTTGATATTAAAAAACAGATTGTTTCGTATTAAAAAAAAACTATCCCCCGGTAAATTTGCATAATTGGAAGAATAAATTGCATCTTAAGGCGTATGTAGCATTTACCGAAGAGATTATAAAATCAACAAAAAAAGAAAAAATTCTTTTTAAAAACAAATACGTCATAACGTTTAACAAATATTATTCTGATTTCTAAGCTAAAGAAAATCTATTTTTCCCTGGAATGTCATTGTCTAGTGATTTTTTTTTTTCTTTTATGCATCTGGACACGCAAATAAATGTAAAAAAAATACAAAAAAATCTATATAAACGTAAAACACTTTCTGTTTTTTCCTATGTACAATAACAAATCCTCGACTAATATATTCTTTCCTGTTTGCTTTCTCTTCAGTTTCAATACTTGTATTCTTTTCTTCTTTTTTCTTTTACTAAGTATTTTCAGTTTCAATGCTAGTATTCTTTTTTTTCTCTTACTAAGTATTGCTTTCCATTGAAGTCTGTGATCGTAATGATGAATGACAGACTTGACAAACACGAACTGGCTTTAAAATTCCGAGACGTGAGATTTTCGATTCGAATCTGCTACACCTGTGTTTTTTTAATTAAATAACATTTAACTATTTTGTAGTTAAATTTAATTAACTTATTTTAACTAAATTTAAATAAATAATAAATGTCCTTTAGAACCACAAAAAAATTTGTGATTTTTATAAAATATTTATTTCTTCTAAACTAATTTTTAAATTCCATCGATTAATAGAAATAATTATAATAATGAAAAAATTGGAAGAGAAAAGAATTAAATTTTGTCTATAATTTGAATATTTAAAGAAGAAAGAAGAGGATGAATAACAGGGGGTTTTTTTTTAACAGAAAAAACTTAAGTTTTCGTATTAAAATTCGTGGTGATTCAGGCAAACAAAAAATAATTCAAGGATAAATTTACTAAAAAGCAAATATTAAAACTTATTTTTTAATTATTTAATTAACTATATTAATTAATTATTGTTTATATTAAAACAAAAATTGCTTGTCACAAAAATCGAGAATTTTCTTATGAATTCTGAAAATTTAATATTTTTCCAGAACTTTTCAATAAAATTCCTTAAGTTTTCCCTGATTTAATTTTTTTTTTATTTTTTTTCTTGAGGAAATATAATTCTTACCTGTTGCAGAATACTTGTCCGCAATTGCGACAATGATGTCTCCTCTCGTAAAGTGTAAATCTCACTCCGCAACCAACACACGAATCTGCTCCTTCATCCTTTAGCCAATGATCGGCGACAGTTCGTCCTGGCTGTTCGCAAACACTCCATGAAAAAACTCGTCCTCTAGTATCACCCACGTAAATTGTTCTGTGATCCCTACAAAAATTTATAGTTCCATTAGATTCAAATTTAAAACAAATTAAAAAAGACTGAAGAAAAAGAAATAAAAGCAATTGGTTCAAATAGAAAAGAGATAAAATTTTCAACAACGTTATTAAAATGTATTTTTTAAATTTCAATTTTGCTTCAATTCAGATTTGTTTAATTTCAATTTGCTGTAAATTCAATTTTGTGTAATTTCCATTTTTCTTTAATTTCAATTGTGTTTAATTTCAATTTTGTTTAAATTCAATTTTGTTTTTAGTTTCAAATTGTTGGTATGATTCACAAGTTTGGTTTCAATTTTGTATCAAATTCATTTTTGGTTTAATTTCAATTTTGTTTTTAACTTCGAATTATTGGCATGATTCACAAATTTAGTTTCAATTTTGTTTCAATTTAATTTTGCTTAAATTACATTTTTATTTAATTTCAGTTTTGTTTCAATCAAACTTTGTATAATTTTAATGTTGTTCAATTTCAATTTTGTATTTTAATTTAAAATTGTTGGAACGATCCACAAATTTGAACGTTCAAATGAACAAAATATATTTCAATAAAAAAATATCTGTAAAATACTGTTTGCAGTAAAAATAAAAAAATTGTAAAATTCTTTACAAAAATTCAATTATTTGAAATACAATTATATTAAAATTTCATCAAAGAATTCAATTTAAAAAAATTTTTAATAATATTTTTGAAAAAATTCGAATATATTTTCTAAAATTTTAATAAATCCTTCGAAACAATTGAATTATTTTATTATTCTTTACAAGAATTAAATTATTTTGATAAATTAATAAAATTCTTGTCAGAAATTAAATCATTCTCAATTCAATTTTAATAAACTATAATAATTAAATAGGTATATAATTATAATTTTAAAAAAACCCGATTATTTTAAAAATTTGAAAAAAATTCTTTGTTTAATTCAATTATTTTAAAATTTTTCAAATTAAAATTATTAAAAGAACACTTAAAGAATGAATTATCTATTAAGTATTAATTAATTATTTACAAAAACTCTAATAAAATTGTTTAAAAGAGTTTCATTTTCTATCAATAATTTTAATAAAATTTTAATAGTAAAGTTATTAATTACAATTATTATCAAAATCGATTATATTCAAGAAATTAAAGAAATTTTTTGAAAGATTCAATATCAATGATAATTCAATTAAATTATTATAGAAAATTGTAATAAAGTTCTCAGAAGAATTTAATTATTTTCTAAAAATTTGACTAAAATTCAATAACTTAATGTTTAATTTCAATTATCAAGAAACACGATTATTTTAAAAACTTGAATGTAATTGTTCATAAAATTAATTACTTTTAAAATTTTCAATTAAAATTATTAAAGAAACTCTATTATTTAAAAAAAATTCAAAGTAAAAAAAATTCAATTTAATTAGGATTTTCAAAAATTGTAATAAAATTCTTCGCAAAATTTCAATTAACTTCATAAATAATATTATTCTTCAAAGGAATTCAATTATTCTCAAATTTAGTGATAAAATTGTTTATAAAATTCAATTACTTTGAAAATTTTTAATTAAAATTATTAAAAAAAACTTCATTATTTTAAAAAAATTCAAAGAAAGTCTTCAAAAGAATTTAATAAAGATTTTCATAAATTGTAATAAAATTCTTTGCTAGAATTCAATTATTTTCATAAATAATATAATTCTTCGAAGGAATTCAATTATTCTCAAATTTATTCATAAAATTCTTTGCAAGAATCCAACGGTTATTGATATAGATTATAGATTTTCCTTGACAGTGACGCAAATTGTAATCAAAATTTAAATTCAAGAAGAAATAAATAAATTTCTATCATTTGAAGGTTCAGAAATTTTTAGAAAAATTTTCTTGGTAATGAAAATGAAAGTACCTTGAGACTGCAAGGGCGGTAATAGAAGCAGGTTCGGTGTTATCTTTGCGATCATACGCCGTATGCATTGTTAATTTACTACGAAACACCAATTGTCTCTGCCATTTAAATCCATCGCGAAGAATATTTTGCGGATTAATTTTCTTTGATTTCGTATCGGCCTCCGTCACCACTACAAAACTGTCCGTTAAACTCGTATCGCTTTTACTCGTCCTCAGAGCGCCTTCGCTATCCGACGTATTGCTCGTCGACGATTCCCTACAAATCATTTTATTATTCATTTTTTATCCATAATTTCGAATTTTAAAAAGAATTTCTACTTAATTTTTTTTAACTAAAATTCCTTTTTAAATTAATACTAAATACAATCCTTCCTCTATGAGGAAGTAAAAGTATTAATTTAAAAAGGAATTTCAACACGAGAATTCAATTATTTAAATACAAAAATAAATAATTGATAAAATAATTAAATTATATTTTAAAATTGAAATACTCACGCGACTTGAGTGCCTTCACTGTCGGCACGACCGCCACCCTCACTTTTTCTAAACAATGGATTGCAACGACTTTTCCTTCTGAGAACGACAGTTGACGATGAACAGCTTGCCTGTGGTGATAATTTATTTCCAGAACCATTACTCGATTCATTATCAGAACACTCTTCCTTCTCCTCATGACTTCTAGACGCTTCTTTTGTATTCTCCGATTCGGATAAACTACTTTCCGAACCACTTTTCGCGAGTGCACCACCTAGAAAAATTATTTCGTTCCTCTTTTTTGTCCTTCTTTTTGTTTTTAAAATAAAAGAAGAAAAAGAATTTAAAATTAAAATACCTGAACCTTCGGCAGAAATACTCATTTGTTTAACTAATTCATGAACACGTTTTTTCGTATTTTCCGATTGATTTTCTTCCTTTGTTTGCTCTTCTTTTTTGGAATTTTCAGATTCCGATACTTCTGGTTTCTCCTCATCTCCTGGCACTTGAACGTAATCCATCGACCACATCTAGACAAATTCAAATGAACGTAAAAATATTTCTCATTACTCTTTAGAAATGTTTAGATACAAAATATTTTCTATTTTCACTTTAACGCTTTTCTAATGTTCAATTTTATATTGCAAATAAAATTAATTTCGAAAAAGAAAAAAATTACTAACTTTTCAAAAATATTGCATCGAATAGAGAGAAAAATCATTAAATTCGTAAAAATTTGAATTTTAAAAATTAAAATTAAAAATTTGGATTTTTAAATCAAAAATAATATAAAGTAATAAAAATAAAAACACTTTGAAAAGCAAATTTATGAGAATAAGAAAATTTTGTATTTGAATTCCAATTATAAAAATTATAATTAAAATTGAAAAAAGGGAATTTTTTATTAATGCTATTTTTTACTCACACGTGCAACGCCATCAGTCGAGCCAGTCATTATCACATTTTGAGAATCCCATTCGTGCGTTTGACTAAAAGCTACACAAAGTATTTGTTGCATTCGATCGGCTCTTCCGACACATGTATTAACGCTCGCCAATTCTTCTCCATTTATACTCCACACATGAAGCCACGTGGCAGCACAAGTTGCAATATCACCCTTCAAAAAATTAATAAAGATTGTCAAATTTAAGTAAATAAATCAAATTACTCAACTATATAGAAAAAATCATCTTAGTTCTTAATTTACTAAATTAATGCAATTTTCCTTTTTTCCCTGAAAGAAAATTAAATTTCTGCCCACAAATTATTATTATTATTATTATTATTATTAATAACTAGCATAACTCTACGAGCGCGTGAAATTTTCGGACCATTTGTCAGTTAAAAAAACCTTTTTTTAAATTTAATGAAAATTTAATATTTTTTAAAAAACCTAATTTTTCGAAATATAAAAAATCAAAAATACGATTATATTTCAAAACAATTTTTCAAAGAAATAAAATTAAATTCTTTTAAATATAAAATTTTCTTCAATAAAATTTAACAAAATTTTTAATTATTTCAATTTTTTAAATTATTTCCGGGAATTCAATTATTTTCAAAAGAATTATTTGAATACAAAAATATTGTCAAATTTAATTTTTTAAAGCGAGAAAATAGAATACTTTGAAATATAAAATTTATTTGAATGAAATTTGAGGAAATTCCCTATTTCCTCAATTTTTCAAAATTATTTTCGGAAATACCTGAAATTATATCCTCAAAAAAATTTTAATTACAATTCTTCAAAAACGTATTTTCTTTTAAATTTCTACATTAAATTATTCAAAACTTCAATAATTTTTGGTAAACAAATATTGAAAAACTTATTGTTATTTAGTAAGAATTTGATGTAATCGATCACACTGAGTCAAGGAAGTTAAAAATTAAAAAACTCTCTTTTTACGTTTCGACAGCGCTGCCGTCCTCATCAGAAACAGAAAAAAGAATATATTTACGCGTTCACATTATTGAAATAACGTCCTACACGCTATAAGCGAAATGTGACACTCACATTTCGCTTATAGCGTGTAGGACGTTATTTCAATAATGTGAACGCGTAAATATATTCTTTTTTCTGTTTCTGATGAGGACGGCAGCGCTGTCGAAACGTAAAAAGAGAGTTTTTTAATTTTTAACTTCCTTGACTCAGTGTGATCGATTACATCAAATTCTTACTATTTAATACGACTGAGTGATAGAATAAATCCATTATTCTTATTGTTATTTATTTGAATTGAAATTTCAAATATTTCCAATGTAAAACCTTTTGAAATTTAATTATTTCTAAAAATTAAAACCGCAATTTTTTCAAAAGTCAATTATTTTTTTTTAGAATTTTTGAATACAAAAAAAAAAAAAAAAAAAAAAAAAAAAAAAAAAAAAAATTAAAAAAAAAAAAAAAAAAAAAAAATTAAATCAAAAATTTAATCATTTTTAAAGGAAAATAAAATAATACTTAATTTTTTTTAAATAAATCTTTAAATATTTTTGTATTTTTACGAAGATTAAAATTTTCAAAGAATTTAATTTAAAAATCATTTAAAATTTAATTATTTCTTGAAATTCCTGTTATAACGCTTCTATATTCAATTATTTTTCAAATTTAAACTGAAATTCTTTTTCAAATTAATTCTTATTAGAATTCAACGATAATTGAGTTATTTAAATTCAAAAATTTTGTCAAATTCAATTTATTAAAGCGATTCTAGAAAATAAAATTTCTTTTAAATATAAAATTTATTTCAATGAAATTTGAGAAAAATTTCTATTTTTTCAATTTTTTAAAATAAATTTTCATGAATTCAATTATCTTAAAAGAAATCGTAATTACAGTTCTTCAAAAACCTAATTTTCTTTAGAATTTAAACATTATTTAAATTATTCAATGCTCCAATAGTTTTTGTTAAACAAACATTTAAAAACTAGTTGTTATTTATTTTAATTAAAATTTAAAATAAGTTCAATGTAAAAACTTTTTAAATTTAGGGGAGAGTAGGCTACATTGAACCAGCGTCAACAGTGAACCACTTTAATTTTCTAAGAAATGACTGAGTGGAATTTTTTCTTATTTAATATATAAATTAGTATTACCGAAAGCGACTACGTCCAAAAATTTCGAGCACGTAGGTTTATTATTTACAAAGAAAAACGAAAAAAACTGTTTTTCACGTACAAAATAAAAAATTTTGTGTAAATATAATGAATTTTTTTTATTGAAATAGGAAGTTTTAAAAATTATTAAACTTGTGATTTATTTCGCTTAGGGTGTCAACTTCAATATTCCGATGTGATAAAGAATTTTAAGTCTTACATAAATTTATTATAAACAATTTTTGTTGTGAATGTCATGTGAATACAGTGAGTGCGGCATCATTGAACCACCCGAATTTACAGCGTATTTTCAGTTTCAAGAGTGGTAGCCCTGACTACAAAAGTTGTCTGCTCTATTGACCAATAAGAAAAATGCTAGTAGTCATGCGCAATTAAGGTTTCAGAAATTATACATTGTAGTAGAACTTTAAAATTTTGCGCCATAATATTTATTTTGAGGTTAGGAAATTTGATCAGCATGGCTCTCAACGTGATAAAATTAAACTGTCACTTCTGCTACAAAACCTGACATCGAAATATATTAATATCCTATATTAACAAATAATAACTATTTAACAACAGTTTTCTATTTTTTTCAGTGGAAAATAAGATTTATTACAATGTGTAAGTGGAAATATTATTTTCGAAGTAAGTTGTAGTGTTTTATTAGAGGTGGTTCAATGTAGACACACTTCCTTCAAAATAAGAAAAGTGTAACTGGTTAGAAAAAAATTAAATTTTATTATTTAATCATAATAATTTGTGTTTGTAACGTGTGTATTAACTAAAGGAGTACTTCAGTTTTATTTTCATACAAAAACCTCATCAAAATTTGTCAAATTTAATTAGTTCTTGGACTTTAGAAAATACCCGGTTCAATGTAGCCTACCCTCCCCTAATTATTTCTAAAAATTACAACTGTAATTTTTCCAAAAGTCAATTATTCTTTAGAATTTTTTAATAAAATTATTCCAAACTTTAATAATTTTTAAAGGAAAATAATATATTAATATTTTTTTTAAATAAACATTTAAATATTATTATACTTTTATGGATATTAATATTTTAATCAAGATTTCAATTTAAAAACCTTTAAAAATTGATTTTTTTTAATTCTTTGAAATATAAAATTTATTTTAATGAAATTTGATAAAATTCTCTATTCAACTATTATCAAAAAATTTTGAAAACGATTTTTTAAAATCCTAATTTTTTCAGAATTTCTAAGTAAAATTTGTCAAATTTCATTAATTTTTGTTTAATAAATATTTTAATACTTGTTATTTATTTGTCCACATGAATTAAAATTTCAAAATACTTTCAATGTAAAATTTTTTTAAATTGAATTAAAAGTATATTTTCTAAAATTTTAACTGTAAATCTTTTTCAAATAAATTCTTATCAAAAAGTTGTACGAGAATTGAATATTTAAATACAAAGATAAATGATAAAATAATTGATTATTTTTAAAAATTGCAACTATGTACCTACTTTTGGATTTCCTTTAATATTTGAGAAGCAAAATTCATAATTATCTGATATTTTTTTGCATAAAATTTAACTTATTTTCCTGTCCTGTGAAAATGCTGTTATTGTAAATATTTTAGGGGAATTAATTTCACTAAAATACTAATCATTTTATTTACAAATTGATTGTCAAACTTTTGACATAAAAATTTGAGCTGTAAAACAATTTGAAATCAAAAAGCCCTAATTTCACGTGAGGACAGAATATCTCGAATAATTATTATTTATGATGGTAATAGATAAAAATAATGTAAATTTAATAAATGAAGGCCCCGAGTGAAGAATAATTATGATTATTATAATTTTCTTGATATGGTTAAAAATGTAGTCGAACCCTCCCCTTAAATTCGAAACAATAATGATTAAATATTAATAAAATTAGAAAAAAAGAAAAAAAGGAATTTACCGTTAGATCGTTAATTGCAACGGCAGCAACAGGTCCAGCGTGTCCTCGAAGTTGCCTCACGAATAAACAACGTGACAAATCCCAAATAATTGCCGTGCCATCTCGCGAACCGGAAACAATGACATTGTACGCGGGACTCGATGACAAACATGTCACAGCATCCGTGTGTCCATAAAGACATTGTTTTATGGACAATTGTCTTCTCGCGTATTCCCATACCGTAACCACCTGAAATAAAAATCAATAAATATATTACAAAAGCTCAAAAGTAAAATTATTTTTCAATATTACAAATTGAATAATATAATTTATATATTCTATAAAATGTTTAAAACAATTATTCCAAGAAATACAATTATTTTTAACAATTTTGATAAAATTCTTAACAAAAATTCAATTATTTTTTCAATATAATTCCAATTTAATTGAACTACTTTCAGAAATTTAAAATGCTAAGTTTACCTGCTTTCGATTCACAGTCATCGAAATGACCAATTCAAAAAAAGGACAATTTTATTCAAGGCAACCATTCAAATTTTTATATCTGAATTTTTTTCATTGGATTTTTAATTTCTTTGGAATTTTTAACCAGGACAAAAATCCAAAAAATAAGTCCAAAGTGAAACTTTTTTTTCTACTTTTTTGGATTTTTTGATTTCGACTTTTTGTTTTGGACTTCTTGTCCAGTTACCATAAATTTTCTATTGAAATAAAAATTTTCTTCAAATAGGTGTAAACGATTATTTTCTACTTGTAATAAAATGAATAAAATGAATAAAATTAATAATTAATAAATCAATAATCAAATTTAATCAATTCATAGAAATAAATAATTCATTTGAAGAAATAATTTATTTTTTAAAAAAATATTTGATTTTATCACTCGGTTGTTTTAAATATTTAATAATATTTATTATTTAACGATCATTCCGAGTCAGTAATTAACTCGGAATGATCGTTAAATTCAATGTTTTATTAAATAATTTATTTTTTGTATAAATTTAATTTTTAACAAGAAAAAAATTCATCAAAAAAAAGAATAGAAATGAATATATATATATATGTACATACAGAACTTGTTCCAGCGGTGACGATAAGTTTTGACGATGGACAAACGCAGGCGACGATTTCTCCACTACTTTGCATCATTGTCTCGCAAACAAATATCGCTTTATCACTATCGTAATTGCCTATTCGAAGCGAATGATCAGCGAAGCCCCACGCGACATATTTATTATAAGAAGGTGGAATCAGCGTTTTATTTTGTTCAACCGCCAATACAGATTTGTCCACGTGAAGAATCTGTCCCACTGGACTTTTCAGTTCTAAACAAGAAAAAAAAAGAAGTCAATTCAATTTTCTATTGTTTTAATTTATTTTACTAATTTAATTATTTTTCTTTTAAAAATACATAAAAAAAAATTAAGTGAATTAAAACAAACCTTTGATTGGCTGAAGAGATGGTTTCAAATTATCAAGATTGTGGAAGAATAATTTGTCAGAAGTCGTGATACTAAGACCAGGAGTTATTGGACCAGGATCAATGACACTCATTCTTTGGCTCATTTTTTTCACCGGATGGGGTTTCTTGAATAATTGTTTCGGAATTTGACCGAAATTATTAATAAAACCAATTGTCGCATTCTTCTTCAGAGGATCATCAATGCTGCAAATTTCAAAATTTCCATGAGTTATAATAATAAGAAGGAGAATAAAATTAACGCCTAAATTTTTTTTTTAATTTCGGAATTTTTTTAGTTTACTCAGGGTTGCCATAAAATAAACATTTAATTACTATTAATTTTTTTAACAGGAGAGACTAAAAATCTAATCTTCACAGGAATTGAAATCTTCAAAAATTTCAATTTAAAACCTATTAAAATTCAATTATTTCTGAGAATTGCAACAGTTTTTAATTAAAATCTTTTCCAAATGAAATTAATTAAACATTAAATAAAAAATTATTCAACAATTTAATTAAATCTTTGTATAAAATTCAATTTAGTTTGCGAATTATTAAATTAAAATTCTTTGAAAATTTTATTCTAGATTGTTTTTTTTGTACATATATGTACATAATTGAATTCTAGTAGAATTTTCTAATAATTAATTATTCTTATAAATAATAATATTCTTTGGAAGAAATTAATTATTTTTTGTAAATAGTAAAAGTAATCGCAGAAATTCAATTATTTTCAATTCAATTTTAATAAAATCTCACGAAAGGATTCAATTATTTTCAAAAAATACAATTAAATTCTTCAAAACAATTCAATTATGAATTTTCAAAATTTTTAATAAAATTCTTGACAAGAATTAAATTATTTTCAAAAATTTAATAAAACTCTATTTGACAAGAATTTAATAATTTTCATAATAATAGAATTCTTAAAAAGAATTCAATTATCCTCAAAATTTTTTAAAAAATTCTTTGTAAATTTTTACTATTTTCAAAAATTTTCAATTAAAAATACATATTTTAAAAAACTAAATTATTTCTAAAGAAATTTAAATTGGATTCTTTAAAGAAATTTAATTATTTATGAAAACTAATGAAATTTTATTAAAAGAATTAATTTTCTAACAATTTTATTAAAATTTAATAATAAAATTATTAATTACAATTATTAGAAAAACACGATTATTTTAAAAACCTAAAAAAAATTCTTGATGGTGAAATTCAATTACTTTCAAAATTCTCAATGAAAAATTATTAAAAAAACATTCATTTTGGAAAAGTTACAAATTATTATTGCCGAAATTCAATTATTTTCAAGAGTAATAATATTCTTCGCAAAAATTAAATATTGTTCAAAAATAATAAAATTATTCTTATGGATTCAATTATTTTCATAAATACTAAAACTCATCGCAGAATTTCAATTATTTTTAATACAATTTTAATTAAATTCCTTGAAAAATGTAATTATTCTTAAAAATTTTATTAAAATTCATAGAAACAATTCAATTAATTAAAAACTTGATGATAAAATTCTTTGTAGGAATTGAATTTTAAGAAACATTCAATTATTCAGTAAATTATTTATTGCATTTTATTTGTATTTAAATAATTGAATTCTCGTAGAATTTTCTAATAAAAATTGATTTAAAAATGGATTTCAGTTAAAATTTTAGATAATAAATGAATAGTAAAAGCAATATAGCGTGAATATTTAGAAATAATTGGATTTTGAAATTATATTTTTTGAAAAAGTTTAATTGAATTTTTTTGTTTTAAGTTTTTATTTTCTAATATATATTTAATTGAAGAATTTACGAATAATTGAAATTTCGTAAAATTGAAGATTGTAAACATTTGTTTGGATTTGAAAATTGTGAATTGTCAAAGAAAATCATCGAATTGCTGCAAAGTATTTTATCAAAAAATTTGATAATAGAATTCCTTCAAAGAATTTTATTATTTAGGAAAATAACTGAATTCTCGCAAAGAATGTTATTAAAATTTCAAAAATTCCTAATTAAATTCTTTTCAAGAATTTCTTTGAATTTTTTGTAAACTAATGGAGTTTCTTTAATAATTTTTTTTGAAATTTTTGAAAGCAATTGAATTTTATTAAAATTGTATTGAAAATAATTGAAATGTTGCGAAGAATTTTACTATTTATAAAAATAATTGAATTGTTTCGAAGAATTCATTAAAACTTTAGAAAATAAATGAATTTTATGTTAATATTTGAAAATTTAAATTCTTTCGAGGAATTCTATTAAAATTGTTCTGAAAAGAATTGAATTTCTGCAAAGGATTTTACTATATTTATAAAAATAATTGAATTTTTTTGAAGGATTTATTAAAATTTTAGAAAAAAATTGAATTCTTCCGAAGAATTTAATTAAAATTGTTTTGAAAATAATTGAAATTTTGCAAAGATTTTACTATTTAGAAGAATAATTGAATTGTTTAGAAGGATTTATTAAAATTTTAGAAAATAATTGATTTTTTTTGTGAAATTTTAGTAAAATTTTTGAAAATATGAACAGTAGTTATGAATTTTATACTTAAAAAGTGAATTTAAAAAATTTTGATTATGAAATTATTTAAAAAATTTATATTTGAAAATAAAAAATTTTATAATTTTCATAACAATAATAAATTGAATATCACGTTCCGCGCGTAACATTTACTAGTTTTTAAATACTTTCACTGGTTCGAGCCTTGATTAATATAAAATAATACTTATAATGTCAAAAAATTTCGTTCATTTGAACATTAAAAATTTGTGAATTATCTTTTTGTAAAATTTTTCAAAAAAACCGAAGTTTCTTTGGAGGAAAGAAAGCGTAATAAAGAAATAAGCAAAACTAACTTGTAAATATCAACGTTTCCCTCGTAGAAAAGATGATGGAAGACGTTAACAGCCTCAACAGCGCCAACACCATTTTGCTTACATCCAAAGATCAAATCAATCCACTGATGTAGATGCTGTGAAACATAATCACACTCCAATGCCAAACGATGACACCGTATAAATTCTCTAGGATCCTGTTTGGCCCAAGGTGGAAGAACAATATCACCCAATTGCACACCACTTTGCTTCGAACCCAAATCAAAATGATTCGAATTAATAAGAAATTCCGGTAGGTAAAAAAATTCCGGTATCAGTTCCTTGACATCAGCCATATTATGTTTCGACGCCGACAGCCATGCCTCCTTCACACTGTTGAACATCCGATCGGCCAAATCGAAATGCCCCCCTTGCAGGCGAAGGAAATGCTGCGTAAACGGTTCCATTCGAACCAAATACGAGCAGACAATCATCGCCGAAGAATAATGAGTGCCATAGTGATAGGGCGGCGTCTCCCCGTGTGGATCGTCCCATTCCTTGTAGCGCTTCTTAAACTGCAATAGACGATCGACACTCTGCGCTCCCATCGGTTTGCCAAAATCACGAAAAGTCCCCGGATCCATGAGATCCAGTTCCTCGCTGTCATAATCGGCGAGAATCCAGGGAAATATTGGATACTGCATCAGATCATTGTAACTCCGTCCGGCGAGAGTATTCAAGTGCATGAGATACTGGAAATTGGAGATTTCGCCCCGAACCCATCGCTGCGTCACCGAAGTCTCGCCAATTAGATTCGAGAGTAATCCGGTCGCTTGTTCGACGTTCGCCGTTCGCTTCTGTCCGGCGACCGATTGCTGAGCACTGTCGGCGATCGCCGTCGCGAAGGTCATGAATTTCTGATAGACCTTGTTGCGAACCTTGCGGGGAAATGCGAGAAGGTAATTGCGACCGTCGCCGCTGAAGACCTCGAGGGCCATCGGCTGCAGGAGGTAGCGTCGCTTGTGCACCTCGCGAATGTCCTCGTAGGTGAACTTGGAGCACTGTCGCATTGCCCGCGATCTTCGCGGCGAGCCCGGTGATGGGAGAATCGGCTCATAAGCCTCGGGCACACTCTCAATGTCCCTGATTTCTCTCGACTTGAGAATAGTGAAACCGTCGATGACGTAGAAATGCTCCTTGCCGAATAGCAAAAGTCCCTCGGTTGTGTCGAGGCCCTGAATTCTCGCGACACGGAACATGTGACTTATTTTCTCGTGCTCGACGAGGAGGCGGAGTAGAGTCTGATTGTCGGGTACGGTTTGATTATTGTCCTCCTCTTGCTCGTTGTCCTCGGGCGCTTCGTCAGGTTCGCTCGCGTGTCTCTCGAGGGTGCAGGGCACCATCGGTGCGGAAATATCGCTCTCGGTTGATATTTCATTGACGTTGAGGGGCGTGTCGTCGATGACGGGATCTCGCTCGCGCTCGAACATTCCGGAAGAGTTGCCGAGTTGCTTGAGATAGTAGTCCTTGCTGTCGATACTCGTGGCGACTTTGTACTTGAGTTGTTTATTGTCGGGGTGCTCGAGTTCGGGACGATAGGGATAGTGGATGTAGAAGAGATCGTTTTTCATCATTTTCTTGCGCATTCGAGAGGGACCCTCGGTCATGTCCAGCATCCATTTGTCGAGAATTGTCGGCGTTGGTGGTCCCCAGAGGCCACGCTCGCGAGTCAACTCGGTTTCGGTTTGGAGCCATTCCTGGTAGACGTAGCGCTGCGTGTGTTGATATGTTTGTTGCTGCTGGAGTTTCTTCGCTGCGACGAGCTCACGAACGAGGGCAACGTGCTGCTCGGTCCATTGGGCAACTGTGCTTTGGTGGAGGCGCAAACGTACACGGACTGATTCTTCCTTTCGTACCTGTTTAAAAATTTTTATTAATTCATTAATAATCACTTTTTTTATTTCTTTTTAATTTTTCAATTCCAAATTGTAATTAAATTAGTTGTCACATAATTAATATCTAATTAATTACTGAACATAATTAGCAATTAATTGATGAAATTAATTAGGAAGTAAATATTAAACTTAATTGGTAATTAATTACTAAAAGTAGTTAGCAAATAATTACTAAACGTATTTAATAAATAATTAATAAACGTATATAGTAAATAATTACTAAAGTTAATTGGTAATCAATTACTAAAATTAGCTAGTCAGTAATAAATAAACGTATTTAGTAATTAATTACTAAACGTATTTAGTAAGTAATTAGTAAACTTATTTAGCGATTAATTAGTAATTACTAAACGTATTTAGTAAGTAATTACATATTTCCAAAAATAAATTAGTAAATTACTATTAAAACAAATTACTAAAAAATAGAAACAAAAAGTCACTTTTAAAGACTGAAGGAAAATATAAAAATAAATAAATAAAATATCTAGACTGAAAAATTAAATTTGACGATAAAAACAAAATTTTTAAAGTCAATTCAATGTACAAAAAAATGAAAAAATTGTACCCATATTTTATTCAAAATTATCAAAAAAACTTTGTTATTAATTTTCCCTGATTTTTTCCTGATTTTAAAAACAATTTTTAACTATTCCTCCTATCCGAATAATAACTTCAATTCTAAATTCTTATAAAATTCAATTAATTTAAAAAATTTCAATTAAATTCTTCGCAGAAATTCAATTCTTTTTAAAACTTTCAGTAAAAATTCTGGAAAATTTCAATAATATTCAAAATTTTTAGTTAGAATTCTTGAAAAATTCTATTATTGTCAAAATTTTCAGTCAGATTTCAAAAATTCAAATATTTTCAGTTACCATTTAAAAAAATCATTAATTTTCAATATTTTAAGCTTGAATTCTACAAAAAATCAATTACTTTCACATTTTTCAGTTGGAATTATTCGAAAATTTAACTATTATCAATAAATCATTAATTTTCGAAATTTTAAGTTAGAATTCTTGAAAAATTCTATTATTGTCAAAATTTTCAGTCAGATTTCAAAAATTCAATTATTTTCAGTTATTTAAAAAAAATCATTAATTTTCAAAATTTTAAGTTAGAATTTTACAAAAATTTAATTACTTTTACATTTTTCAGTTAGAATTCTTCGAAAATTTAATTATTATAAATACTTCAAATTAGAAATAGAAAATTCAATTCAATTCCCACTTGCCACTAAAATTTTCTAAAAAAAATCAATTATTTTCAAATTTTTAAGTTCAAATTCTTCAAAAATTCAATTATTATCAAAATATCAAGTTAGAAATAGAAAATTCAATTCAATTCAAAATTTCCATTTAAACTTCCTAAAAGTATCAAATATTTTCAAAATTTTTAGTAAAAATACTTCAAAAATTCTATTATCGAAATTTCTAGTCAGAAAAGATAAAAATTGTCGGATGATTATCCTCAAAAAATCAATTAATTTTAATATATTCAATTCGAATATTACAAAAATCTAAATATTTTTAACATTTTTAGTTAGAAATCTCTAAAAAAATTCATTTTTAAAATTTTTTGGTAGATTACAGCAAAAATTAAATTATTCAAAAATTCTTATTGAAAATTCTTTAAATAATTGAATTTTATAAAAATTTATAATTGAAGTTCAATTATTCAGAAAAAGAAAAAAAATTAAAAACTTCTTTAAAAAAACGGTTATTGTGAAAAATAATGATTGAAAATAAAATAAAATTTTTATATTTATTTTCGGGAATTCAAATATTATAATATTATAAATTCATTAATAACATGAATAGATATATTTTTAAGACTTTGAAAATTTTGAAAACACTTTCTTCATTTAAAAAAATAATTGACTTTTTATATTTAAATAATGGAATATAAAGAAGATTTTTAGTAAAATTACAATCAGACTGTTATTATTTTTTTCTTTTTTAGAATTAAGGGATTAAGATTTTACGTAAAAATATCAAAAAATTCCATTATTTTTATTGAAATTTTTTTAAAAACTCTAAATACTTTGAAACTTTTTAATTCGAATTCTTAAAAATCCAATCAATTAAAGTTTTCATTCAGAATTCAGAAATTTAATTATTTTCTGTTAGAATTTTTTTTTCAAAATCATTAATTTTCCAAATTTTCAGTCAGAATTCAAAAATTTAATTAATTTCAAATTTTTCAGTTTGATTTCTTCAAAAAATCAATTATTAACAAAATTTCAAATTAGAAATGGAAAATTCAATGCAATTCAAAATTGCCATTTAAAATTCCTAAAAACATCAATTATTTTCAAATTTTTCAGTTCGAATTCTTGAAAAAATCAATTTTTAACAAAATTTCAAGTTAGAAATGAAAAATTCAATTCAATTAAAGAAATGTCAGTCAAAATTCTTAAAAAAATCAATTTTGACTTTTGAGAAGAATTTTAGTCATTATTTTGGTAATTATAGTCAGACTGTTATTATTATTCTTTTCTTCTTTAGAATTTAGAGATAAAAATTTTACCTTTGTTCTACTAGCAAGTCTCGTGAGTCCTCCAGTGACTTTCTGTATTTTCGACTGTATCTGATTGTGTAATTCCCAAGGTACTCGATACGAAGCCTTCCTCTCCAGAACAACATAATTCAGCCACAAACGTGTCGCCGCTTCATGCACCTGATCTCTGACAATCGTCAATTCCGGTGCACGCTCATTGCCAACAGGCGTCAACAAAGTCACCTTAAACACTTCCTCAATCGCTGGCTTCTTACAAACGTACAATTCCTCCCAGACTCTCGTCGCCGCAACAGTCATCAAATTATGTCCCTGATGTGCCATCAATCGATCGTCAATCACCTCAACTTGCGGATTCACGTGCCAAGTTGTCTTCATATTTGTGTCCAGCATTATCTTAATATCCGCCGTCAATTGCAGCAGACAATAAGTGAGACAGCCGATAAATTCCAATTCATGATTCCCAGCGCCAAAAACAAGAACCCGATGTTCCGTCAATTTGTGCAGTGCTTGCAAAACGGCCATTTGATCGGGTGTCGATTCCGTCGATCTCGAGAGAAGAAACAAAATCGTTCGATTCAGACAGTGATGAAGACCCTCCATATTCACATTACCGGGTCGTCTCTTCGCCTGTCCAATAAGTTTGACAATAAAATCAAAAACCTCGTGCGGATCCTTCGTTAATGAGCCTTGCCACAATTTATCGACAATTCTCGCCGCCACATAGCAAACGTTATTCGTGATATTATTTATCGATCCACCGGGCACAACCGGAAGTGCCGCCTGTTCGCCAATAAGCACATCCGCCGCCAGAAGATGGTCCATCAATATTGACAGAACCTCCGTCTGATATGTCGTCTGCTGAACCGTCGATGCATGCTCGGGCCACGCTTCCAATACCAAATCAATGGCAGGCGGTAATTTCGCCGTCACCGACAACGACAGCGAATCAACGACAATAACTCGCAAAAAATCCATAACAAACTTCCTCACCGGATGATTTGTCAAACTAATGTCCTTCGATGGCGAACGTACAAGAACCGGTTCCTCATCAGCCGGTGTACTCGCTCCACTACTCTCCTGACTGCAACTCATTGCCTTTGGAAACAGCGTTCCGGCAAGACCGCCAAGCACCTCGGCAGTCATGAAAACTTGAATGAAATCCGTCAGATTATGATAGAGGAAGAAGAGAAATTGAATTATCGTCACTGGATAGTCATTCAACCAGTCGGGCAATGTTTCCGGTGAATTTGTGTAGCGATTCACCATTGTTCGAACCATTGTGAGGAGAGTGACTATTGCCTCGGGACAGAGATTTATTCGCGATGCGTACGATGAGAGTGAATGATTTGCAGGCATGCCGAACATAAAATTCCAAACGTTGTCGAGATCGAGTGTCGAATCGGCGGGTAAGAGTTTTATTGGTTGTCCCATCATTAGAGCGATGAAGAGGAAATAGAGTTCTGGTACAAGATCCACATGCTGGGGCAATAACCAGCCGAGATGTTGAAAACCCGGTACGTGAAGACCGGCGGATTTATTCTCACCACCTGAGGCTTGCTGAATGCAACCTAAAAAAGAAAATTACAAATGTCAATATTTCTTTCAATTCCGTTTATTCTTCATTATAATTATAGTTTCTTTTTTATTTTAATTATGATAATACTAGAAAACATCAACTTTTATCAAATTATAAATATCAACTTTAATTCTTCAAAATAAATAAATAAATCATTATTTTCAAAAGTTTTAATAAAATTCCTTCAAAAAATTCAATTATTTTTCAAAAATTTAGATAAAATTCTTCGAAACAATTCAATTGTTTTTATGAATTGTAAAAACCTCCGCAAGAATTCAATTATTTTCATAAATAAGAAAATTCTTCGCAAGATTCAAATATTTTCATAAATAATAAAATTGTTCGAAGGAATTTAATTATTTTCATAAATAATAAAATGCTTTAGAGGAATTCAATTATTTTCAAAACAATTTTATTAAAATTTCTTGAAAGAATACAATTATTTTTAAAAATATTATTTAAATTCAAGAGTTTTAATAAAAATTCAATTATTTTTAACAGCTCTTAATAAAATTCCTTCAAAAAATTCAATTATTTTTCAAAAATTTAGATAAAATTCTTCGAAACAATTCAATTATTTTTATGAATTGTAAAAACCTCCGCAAGAATTCAATTATTTTCATAAATAAGAAAATTTATTGCAAGATTAAAATATTTTCAAAAATAATAAAATTGTTTAAAGGAATTTAATTATTTTCATAAATAATAAAATGTTTTGGAGGAATTCAATTATTTTCAATATAATTTTAATAAAATTTCTCGAAAGAATACAATTATTTTTTAAAAAATTATTTAAATTTAAGAGTTATAAAAAAATCATTATTTTCAAAAGTTTTAATAAAATATAAAAATAAATAATTTATTTAATAATTGAATGTTAAATAAATAAAATAATATTAAAAAAAAAATTGAATGTTTAGGGTCATTTAGGGTAAATGTAAACAGTAGATGTTTCAGCTAAATTTACAAATTAAAAAATAAGTACGACGTCAATATTTTTACCTCAGCTCACATACAAGATGTTCTGAGTATTGCCAATATTTTATTTTGACAATTGGCAATGCCATAGTGTAAGTTATTTTTTAATGCAAAAAAGATTGAAAATCAAAATTTTACTGTTTCAGTATTTTGTCTCGCATTTGCATAAAAATAAATTTAAAAATCAAACAAAAGTATGTAATTCTTCCTTATTAATGCCCTAATAAAAATTGAAAAAAAAAATTTGATAAAAAAAAAAAAATTTTTTTTGAAAATTTGATCAATTTTTAAAAATATTTTTAGATTTATCCGCCATTTTGAAAATTTAAAATTTGACTTCAAATTCGTATTCAGCGACCTCAAAAACCCCCTAGTAGCCAGATTCAAGCAAATTTGATCAATTTTTAAAAATATTATTTGTAGGTTCATCCGCCATATTGGATCCACCATTTTGAAATTTAAAAATTCGATTTTAGATTCTTATTCAGCAACCTTGAAAACTTCTTTTTACCAAGTTGAATAAAAATCTATTAAAATTTGTTCAAGTTTATTCAAGTTTTTACATTATTAATTTTGTAATGGTTGATTGTTTATTTTATATGATACATTATCAGTCAACTGGTTGATTTACGAAGAATTTTTTTTCAGTTTTTCCATCCCTTAAAACAGTAGTATACTTGAAATAACTTGTTTCTTAAACCTCGCTTAACTACAGTGGTGTTTACATTTACCCCGAATTTTAGGAAAATTTCAAAATCTCGGGGTAAATGTAAACAGTCAGTTTTAGGCGATTCAGGTGCATCAATATTTTTTCGTACCTCATAAAATTTTTCTAGGGAACTCTAGTAACAAGTTCATGCAAAAAAAATCCGTTCGTTTTACCTTTTAACAAAAAAAACTAATGTTTTTGGTGAAAAATAAATATTCCGTTTACATTTACCCCAATTGACCCTATTAAAATTTAATTTTTACGAAGAATTTTATTAACAACTTTTGAAAATAATTCATTTCTTTTAAGGAATTTAATTCAAATTTTACTGAAATTTATTATATTAAAGAATTTTATAACAATTTTTGAAAATAATTGAAAACTTTTGAAACATTTTTATTAAAATTTTTAAAAATAATTGTCAAACTTAATATTGATAAAAAGTCTAAATTCTATATATCGAACAATTTTTTTACAATATTATTCAATTAGTAAACTGAATTTTATTTGACACTTTTGTTTGACAAAAATAAATTGATTAAAGACACTTAAATTTTGAAGTTTAAATATTTAGTATGTTTTTTATGATTCAAATGGTATTTTTTAATTAAATCTTTAGAATTTTTATTTCTTTTGGTAAATTCAGTCTCCTATAAAATGATAATTCAATAAACTTTAAAAAAAATCCCGTATTTTCTACATTTTTTGATACTTTTGCCCTTCCGGTTACGCAGAATCGGGTACTTTGTATTTAATTCAGAAAAATAATACTTATAAATTCTATTAAAAATTTCTTTCCTTCAATTATCAACATTTCAATGTATTCAATATATTTTTCGGATGAATACTAACAATTATTAGTGTAGGCGAACACTTTTTCTAAAAAAATATTTTCTAATCCTTTTTGTCTAAAAAAAGGCGATTTCTAAGTAAATCTGTTTTCCGAAAAAGTTTTTCTAAAAAGTTATAATTTCTAATGTTTATTTTCCTAAAATTTGTAAAATTCCATAATTTTGATAAAAATTAGAAAATTGTTAAAAAATTAAGATTATGAAATAGAAACTATTTTACATATTTTCTGTTTCTCAATCACAATTCTGTTTACAAAATTATAAGTTTCTTTTTGAAAATAAAGAAAAAATTTTTATAAAATTACTATTTCTTATCACAATTTGTTAACAATATTCTGTTCTTCTTTGAAAAAAAATAATTTGCATCATTTTTACACCAAAATTTTCAAAGTTAATATATTTATAAAAAAATTTTGTAGAAAATTTTAAACATCTTTAAGAAAAAAATCCCTATAATATTTCTATTTGTTAATTACGATTTTTAACTATGATTATTTTAAAATTTTGTTAAAAAATTTGCATAATTTCTATTTTTTATTATAATTTTTTAACGAAATCTCAAGTATTTTTTTTAAAGAATTAACAAATTTCCGTAAATTTTATTTTTTAATCATATGTACCTATTGATCGTGATTACAAAAATTGAATATTATTAGAAAAAAGAAAATTTTGAAAATTACCTTTATTTGAAGACAGAAAATTTCCTTTATTAGAAAAAAGTTCTTTACAAATTCACCTTTATTAGCAAAAAAATTTTTTAGAAAATATGATTTAGAAAAACTGTACCCCAACCATTATTAGAATCATATATGAATGAAAATTAAAAGATTTAAAGAAATTGTAATTTAAATCTTTTGAGTTTGAATTTTATTACATTTATATGAGCTTAAAAAATGTTTGAGGGATTTCATAAGAAAATTACATGTATAAAAATTACATTTGAAACTTGAGTTGAGTAGAGGCATCTTTTTCACAATTGGTAATTATATTTATTTTAATAACAGAAGCCATTAAAAAAATCGCAAAAGGATCCAAGACAAGGAAAGTAGTAATATTTATTTTTTTCACGGATTTTCTTCAAACCTCGGTATTTAAACTAAATTATAATTTCCACGCCTTGGAAGTAATTTTTTTCGTTTGCTAATTATTTATTTTAATGTTACAAGTCATTAAAAAAATTTGCAAGAGGATCGAAGGCGGGGAAAGCAGTGATTTTGATTTTTTTCAATAATAATTTATTTTATATTCTAGGATTTATGAAAAATCCGTGATAAAAAATAAAGGTCACTGTTTTCCCCGCCTTGGATCCCCTTGCAATTTTTTTAAGTGGCTTCTGAGACGTGGAAATGATAATTTAGTTCAAATACCGAGATTTTTTAAAAAATTATAACTATTATAAACATGGAATAATATAAATTAAATTTATTAAACTTTTTCTGTGGAAGGCAGGTAGACAGATTGCTACCGTGATATTTCTTTAAATAATTCACGCGCGCATCGCGCGCGTAGGATTTTGCTAGTTTTAATAATAATTTAATTTCTGCAAAGTATTTTATTACTTTTCAAAAGACTTGAATTTTTGTGATAAATTTTGATATTTATGAAAATAATTGAATTTTGGAAAAGAATTTTATTAAAATTCCTTAAAATAATTGATATTATGGAGTGGAATTTTGTTGTTTAACAAGATAATTGAATTCTTTTGCAGAATTAATTAAAAAATATTTTGAAAATAATTAATTTTCTGCTACGAATTAAATGTTATTTATGAAAATATTTAAATTATAACAACGAATATTATTATTTTATTGAATAATTGAATGTTTCTTAAAAATGAATTCTTTCCTCAAGTTTTAATAAAATTGTTAATTTAATAATTTCATTTTTCAAGGAATGTATTGAAAATTGTATTAGAAACATTTGAAATTCTGCGATGAAAATAATTGAATTCCTGAATGAAATTTATTCATTTATGAAAATAATTGAATGTTTTCGTAGAATTGTATTAAAAACTTTTCCAATAATTAAATCTTTTTAAAAATTTTATGAAAATAGTGAATATTAAAAATTATTTAATTGCGAAAAAATTTTGAAAATAATTGAAATTTTGCAAAGAATTTTATTTAAATTTTTGAAAATAATTGAATTTTTGGCGAAAAATTTTGCTATTTATAAAGATAATTGAATTCTTGACGAGATATTCGTTAAAATTTTTAAAAATAATTGAATTTCTCCGAAGAATTTGATTACTTTTGAAAATAATTGAATTCTTGTGATGAATATTGTTACCTATTTATAAAAATAATTGAATTTTGCAAAGATTTTTTTATATTCATAAAAATAATTGAACCCTTGTGAAGAATTTTGTTATTTATCAAGATAATTATGAATTTCAAAAATTTAATTTTTCCAGTACTTTTAATAAAAATTAAAAGTGTTAGAGCTTGCGAATAATCTTTTACGGTGTAAAATTTTAACAAGTGATAAAGCTGGTGACATAGTATATTTATACATAGAATAGACTTATATTGTGAAAATTTTTATCCATTTACACTTAAACGACATCAATTTCCAATAAAATTAGCATTTGCAATGACTATTAATAAGAGACAAGGTCAAACACTTGATAAGATTGGAATCCATTTACGAAAAAATGTATTTAATCATGGACAATTATATGTTGCATTTTCAATTGTTCATTCTTGCCATTTCAAATTCCCTGACTTGTCCAGTTTTTCCAGGTTAAAAAACAGAATTCTTCCAGGTTTTTAAAACTACATTTATATTTTACAAAATTAAATAATTAGTCATTATAATTTTTCCATAAGAATTAAGACTATCAAAAACTTTAAATTAAAACCTTTTTGAAATTAAACAACTTATAAAAAATTGTTATAAAACATGAAGAAATCGATTACTCGGAGTAATCAATAATTTCATGTTTTATAATGATTAAAAATGACCGACTGATAAAATCATTATTTTATATTATAAGAATATTGTTACTGTAACTTATTCAAAATTACTCTCATCACTTCAATTCAATTATAGCTTTCCAGGATTTTTAACTAAAATTATTCTTTAAATTAATTATGTTTAATAATTTTTGAAAAATATTTTTTTGAAAATTTTCAAATCCATTAGTTTGCAATTCAATTTTATAAAAATTAGTCGTAAATTCTTCAATTAAATATATATATATATAATTAAATATATATGTTACGGTTAAAGTGCGAAGTCCGGTGAATGTGCACATTTACCGGGCTTTTTGGTAAATGTGAATAATCTATCATTCTCAGAAGAAATTATGTACATTTCCCAAGTAAATTGGTGATTGTACACATTGACCAACGTTAGTTAGTAAATGTAGAAATTGAAAGCAAGTAATTTGTTCAGTAGTTATAATTATTACAAAATATGATAATGTAAGGAATTATTAAAAATAAATAATTCTTAATATAAGTAATTAAATAATATAAATTTTAAAAAAGAAATAAAGATATAAATGGAACGAATAATATATAGAAATACAAATGTAACAAATGGAAATTGAAATGTCAATTGTTTAAGAATAAAACTTTTACAAATACAATAAATTTGTAACAGTTGAATGTTTATTTTCTAAACGTCAGTTATTATTCTAGTTTGCATTCTGCAGTGACGTCTGTCAGATATTTTGGATTTATACAGTAAAAAAATAATTTTGTAATTGCTTTCTACTGGAAAATTGAATTAGAGCTTATTAGAAGTTAATAATAAAAAAATATTAGAATCCTATAATTTTTAATATTTACGATTAATTATCAACAAAACTTTGTGCTACTCATTGCGCTACTCGAAAATGGTTGCAGCTACATTCGGACAGCATGATTTTTAAAATAATGAATACAATATTTCTTGTTTAATTATTTTGTAAAATAACACTATTTTCATGAAATACATACTTCATATATTCGTCCAATATATTACTTTAAAGTAATTATTGCAATGCATTATTATTTATTTGACAAAAAACATGAAAGTGTCCGACCACCGGTACTGTCCGACTATACCTGCACTACCCTGCCATTTGCTCGGGGTATACTAATTTTTCACTTTGGCCAAAACAATTTGGTGAATGTGTACATTCACCGATTAAAGTGCGTAGAAACACAAAATTCGTATGCTATTCTCACATTCACCATTCAACTAACGTCCAATTCGAGTAATGTGCACATTCACCAACTTCGCACATTAACCGTAACATATATATTAGAAAATAAAAACTTGAAACAATTTCAAAAAAAAAAAAATTCCGCAATTAAACTTTCTCAAAAAAATTAATTCCACAGAATTGTTAGTTAAAAATATGAAAAATTCAGATTCTTAAAGTTTTTTATGTGAAACCTTTTTAAAATTCAATTATTTCCAAAAAAAATTCACGCTCTAAATAAGAAGAATTTTATTACTTTTGAAAATAATTGAATTCTTGAGACGAATTTTAATATTTCTTTTTAAATAATTGAAATCTTTTATGAAATTTTGTTATTTAATTAAAAATGTATTGACAATAATACTTAAATTCTAATGAATTTCTTTGATGAATTTTAATAAAATTTTCAAGAATAAAATACATTTTTCGAGAAATTCCATTAAAATTGTATTAAAAATAATTGAAATTCTGCGATGAGTTTTATTATTATTTATGAAAGTAATTGAATCTCTGTAAAAAATTTGATTATTTATGAAAATAATTGAATTATTGCGAAGAAATTTATAAAGAATTTGTAAATAATAGAATTCCTGTGGAATTTTTATTATTTAATTAATTCATTCAAAATTGAAAAAAAACAACTCACCAAGAGCTAAAGCAACTTTATTATGATCAGTGTGCCTCAACCAACCGCCATTACTCGTTCCATCTTTGAATTTTTGCAAAATCGATTGTACCGAAGAAACGGCGACTAAAATCCTCAAACCCCACACAACAGTTGTACTATGAAGTCCAGATTGAAGGAACAACAGAATCCAATCTAATCCAAGAACTTTTGCAACTTCATCGCACATGCTGGTGAAAAACAGAAATTTAAAATAGAAGTACAAAATTTTTTAATTCTATTTCAATTGAAAAATAATTTTTTCTTTTTTTTCTAAAATTTGCAAATAGAAAATAAATTTAATAAATTAAAATTATTTTAAAAATACTTACTTTGCATTTAATTTCGAACCACTGTACAAAAGTGAATGTAAAAGTTGAAGACATCGATTTCTGAGAAGAATATTTTCCCCTTCGCCTTCCTTCGTTCCTTCGCCCTCACGTGGTACTAAATGCTTCTCCGAAACCAGGGGCAAAGTTGATACAATATATTGTCCGAACCTATTTAAAAAAAAGTAAATTATTACAATTCAAATTTTGTACATGCTCATCACCTCAAATGAAAAGGTATTCTTAAATTATACTATTATAAGCTACAAAATAATTAACTTTTATTTTAAATTTATATAAATATTTTATATAAATCGTCGGTTGGGTGCAGAAAAGTGCCAATTCAGACTAGTCGTGTAAAACGTGCCGTTTCAAAAAACATTTGAGAAACCTGCCATTTGAGCTGAGATTTGAAAAACATAACAACTCCAAATTAATGTTCATTTTTTTTATTTTAGGTTGACACTTGGGAGTACAGAAAAAATTTGAAGCAAAGGTTATAAAGTTATACAAAAATGATTTTTCTAGTTGCACTTTACATAATTGTTGTTTTTCTTTGAAAAAGGATTATTTTTACTAATTTATTGAATTAATTTGTTGATTATTTATTATTTTTTAGACAACTTCTTTCTTATACCTAAAATTAAAAAAATTAAAAAGCTCAGCTCAAATGTCAGGATTCTCAAATGTTTTTTAAAACGGCACGTTTTTCACGAGTAGTCTGAATTGGAATTAAACATTTTAAAGTAAATATTTTATTCATTAAAAAATATACGATAAAATATTGAAAAAAATATCTTCATAAAAAAAATATTTTATCGATATTATTTTAATAATTTACCCACTTATGGGGCCATAAAAACCATGCATTATAAATATAGTTAATAAATAAGTATACTAAATTAATAAATTTGTTTAAAAAATTAGTAAAAAACAATGGTATAAAAATTGAATTTAAATATATTTTAAATAAATAAATCTTCTATCATCTAAATTCATAATCGTGGTAATCCGATAATCTGTTCGATGTTTAAAGTTAATTAATTTGTTTTCGTTAGCTTTTTGTTTTCCAATTTTTTTGATAATTTTTCTTTTCAATGTTTAGAATTTCAAAATTAATAAACTTCTAGGTAATTTCATGCTTTCAAGATTAAAAAATATGTACTAAAAATTAATTAAACAAAATTGCTTTCAATTAAGAATATTTCTTTTATATTATTCCTTTTATAATTTTGAATCTGAAATAATTTAATTCTAATAAAGAAATTTATCCAAATTTTTCAAAATAATTAAATTTCTTTGCTAAAAATTAAATTAAAATTTTTCAAAATAAGATAATTTTTACGAGAAATTTAATTGAAATAATATTGAAAATATTTAAATTCTTATAAAACATTTTATCAAAATTTTTGAAAATAATTTGAATTTCTGCGAAAAATGTCATAAACTCATAATTAACATTATTTTAAATAATTGAATTCTTTTCAGAAATGTTTATTAGTTATAAAAATAATTTAATTCTCTGAAAGAATTTTATTAATTATATGAAAATATTTAAAATGTTCTAAAGAATTTTACCAAAATTTTTGAAAATAATTAAATTTCTGCAAATAATTTTATTGTTTATGGAAATAATTGAACTTTTGCAAAAAAATATTATAAATTTTTAAAAATAATTGAATCTTGTTAAGAATTTAAATAAAGTTTTCGAAAGTAATTGAATTTTTTCGTGGAATTTACTTAAAATTTTATTAAAAATCTATTTTCAATTCTCATAAAGAATTTTATCAAAATTTTCCATAACAATTGAATTTCTGCGAAGAATTTTATTATTTAGGGGAAGATTTAAATTTTTTTCAAATACCTAATTGAAGAATTTTATTGAAATTTTTCAAAATAATTAATTTTTGCGAAGAATTTTTTAATAATTATGAAAATAATTCAATTCTCATAAATAATTTTTACAAAATTTCTCAAAGCAGGTAATTGAATTTCTACGAAGAATTATATTAAAATTGTTTAAAATAATTAAATTACTGCGAAAAATGTTATAAATTATGAAAATAATTGAAATCTGGCCAAGAATTTAAAAAAATTTTCGAACACAATTGAATTTGTTCGAGGAATTTAATTAAAATTGTATTGAAAATATGTCAATTCTCATAAACAATTTAATCAAAATTTTTCAATATTTTGAACTCATTTTTGCGAAGAATTTTATCAAAAATGATTGAATTCTTGCGAAGTATTTTTTTAAAAAATTAAAATTCTTATTAAAAATCTTATCAAAATTTTTGAAAATAATTGAATTTCTCCGACGAGTTTCATTATTTAAGACAACTATTAAATTTTTTCAAAGTATTTGATTAAATTTTTTTCTTATAAAGAATTTTATTGAAATTATTCGAAATAATAAAATTTTTGTGAAGAATTTTATTAATTATGAAAATCATTGAAATCTTGTTAAGAATTTTATTAAAATTTTTGAAAATAATCGAATTTTTTTAAGGAATTTAATTAAAATTGCATTGAAAATATTTGAATTCTCATAAAGAATTTAATCAAAATTTTTCAAAATAATTGAATTTTTTCAAAGAATTTTATCAAATTTTCAAAAATAATTGAATTCTTTTGAGAAATTCTGTTGAAATTGAATTGAAAATAATTGAATTCCTATGAAGGGTTTATTAAAGTTTTTGAAAACAATAAATAATTATAATTAATCAGTAAATTAGTTAATAATTTAATTTTTTTTAATTATTCCAAAATTGAAATTAATATTTGAAAATAAAAAGTTTTTGTAATATACATAATAATAATAAAAAATTAAATAATAAATCTCGCGTTTCGTGATCTGGCGCACGTAACACTTGATAGTTAAATTATAAAATTGAATCAAAAAAAGAAAAAATGATAATAACATACGAAATTTAATGAAAAGTTTTACCATAAAAGATCGGCTTGACGTGGCTGACTGAGGAGAATGCTGAGCAACGCCAAAAGCACTTGTCTGGTTGCATTTTGCTTTACTTCGCCAAGAATATACAATAATTTATGAACAAGTTGCAAATCTCTCATTAGACGTAAATTTGTTCGCTTTTCACTCGAATCTGCTATCAACTCGTATAAATGCTCCAATAATGATCGTAACAATTCACCGGGCGCTTCATGCCAAACCTGGTTTTAAACAATTCACAATAAAAAAATGTTATTATTTTAATTAAAATATAACTCGTAAATAAATTCTTAAATTCTTAAATAAATTTGACTACATTTAGAATAGAAAAAAGTTGAATAGAAATTGATGATCCTAAAGTTCTGACCGTTCAAATGAATGAAATTAAATTTTTTTTCGAATTAAATTCGTATTAGAATAATTTTGTGCCACTATCAAAAAAATTAATTCTAAAGTTTCTAAATGTAAAATTTAAGTTTTTAATTTATATTTTAAAAAGTAATTTATGAAAATATATGAAAATACTTTTAATAAAAAAAAAATTTCCTGCATTTGAACTCTTACAACCTGTGGATTGAAATTGAAAGAACTAAAATTGAAAATTGGATCAAATAAAAATATCTAAAAAGGAATCAAAATTTGATATTTGGAAATTTTAATCTTTTGAGGGAAAAAAAATGAATTTTCGTCATTCACCTGTAAATCGCAGAGAAGATCCTGAAAAGCAGTGATATTTGGAATTGCACTTGTTTCACGTCCACTATCGACTGTTCCAACTAAACTGAATGTCAAATGAAGAATGTGACTGTTAAGAAGAGGACACTTTCGTCTCAATAACATTGCCAATGTTTGATAGCCTCTGCGTCTATCCATTTCTTGTTGAGCCGCTTGATTCGACCTCACAACGCAGACTAAAGCTTTAACAGCCGCATAAAGAGATTCCACATCCTGCATCATTGCTATCATTCCTATTAAACATTTCAAGGAAAAAATATTAATTAATTTAATTTCAATTTAATAAAATAGTTATCTTCGTATCAAGGGCGCAAAATAGGTGATTGCGCCCATGATGCTAACATAATTTTTTGTCCTAACTGCATGGAAAGTATGTCATTGAGGACACGAACGATTAAACGCTCATATTAGTTAAAAATTAAACTCTATATAAATGTTAACTCTTTGAAGTCTATAATGATAGAAGTTTTAATATAGAAATAAGAAAACAATGTATTCTGGAAATATAGTAATTGCCAATTTTTATAACCGAAATGTGAACAAAATCAAATGTGTCATAATTTTTTTTAGAGAAAATCGAAAAAAAAATTGCACATTTTTCTAGACAAAATAAAACAAGTTGAAAATATTTGCATTTTTATAGTCAACATAAAAAGAAACTCGAAAATATTACATTTTAATGAAGAAAATCGAATAATTAACATGCGGGCCCAAAATACTCTTCCGCCTGCTCGAAGGTAGGGGAAGCGGGCGAAAAATATTTTGCGCCCGCTCGGAGGTAGAGGAAGCGGGCGCAAAATATTTTGCGCCCGCTTCCCCTACCCCTGGGTGGTAATGAGTTACTTTGCGCCCGCTCTAAGTGCCCGAAATGACATACTTTCCGTGCAGGTAGGACAAAAAAGTATTTCATAAATTTTCCATTTTTCATATAAATTTAAATCCAAATAATCAAACAGCTTATTCTTGCGTGCTTTTGTTTTATTTATTTTATTTTTATATTTATTATAAATATACTAGCAAATGATACGCGCGAGGAACGCGGTATTCCATTTATTATTATTTTGTAAATTAAAAACTTTTATATTTTTAGGAATAACCATCAATTTTTAAATGATTCCAGATTAAAAATTTGAAGAACTTACTTATTAAGTTGGTACATAATATTAAATATTCTTGTTTATTATTATTCAAAGATTTTAATAAAATTTTTCGCAAGAATTTCATTATTCTTATAAATAATATTTTTTAGAACAATTCAATTATTTTCAATACACATTTAACAAAATTTCTCAAAAGAATACAATTATTTTAAAAAATATAATTTTAATTTAATTATTTTCAAGAGTTTTAATACCTATAGATTCAAATATTTTCGATAATTTTGATGAAATTCTTTTTAAAAAAATCATTATTTTCAAAATTTTTAATAAAATTCCTTCAAAAAATTAAATTATTTTCAAAAATTCAATTATTTTTATGAATTGTAAAATCCTCTGCAAGAATTCAATTATTATCATAAATAAAAAAATTCTTCGCGAGATTAAAATATTTTCATAAATAATAAAATTCTACGCGAGATTAAAATATTTTCATAAATAATAAAATTCTTCAAAGGAATTCAATTATTTTCATAAATAATAAAATGTTTCGGAGGAATTCAATTATTTTCAAAAATTCAGATAAAATTCTTCGAAACAATTCAATTATTTCTATAAATTGTAAAATTCTTGGCAAAAATTCAATTCTTTGTAAATAATAAAATACTTCAGAGAAATTCAATTATTTTCAATACGATTTTAATGAAAATCTTGACAAGAATTAAATTATTTTCAATGCAGTTTTAATTACATTTTCTCGGAAGAATTCAATTTTTGAAAAAAACGTTGAGAAAATTCTTGAAATGAATACAATTATTTTTAAAGTTTTTTATAAATACTATACAAGAAATCAATGATTGTTAGTACATCGACAATTTAATTATTTTGGAAAATAATGGAATTCTTAAATAGAATTTTATTAAAATTTTTTTAAATAATTGAATCCCGGCGAAATTTTATTAAAATTGTATTTAAAATAATCCAATTCCTGTGAATAAATTAGTATTTATTGATATTATTGAATTCTTTCGAAGAATTTTAAAAAATAATTTAAATTTTAAAATAATTGAATTTTAGTTAAGAATTTCATTATTTATAAAATAATAGAAATCATTTAAGAAATTTATTTCTGTAATTTATATTCAATTCTTGTATAGAATTTCAGAGAAATTTTGTAGCGAAATAATTGAATTCTTGCGAAGAATTTTATTAAAATTTTTTGGAAAATAATTGAATTCGAGGAAAGAATTTTATTATTTATAAAATAATTTAAATCTTTAGAAAATTTTTATTATTTACAAAAAATAATTGAATTCCAGATAAAAATTTTATTATTTATAAAAATAATTGAATTCCTTCGAAGATTATTATTTATTATGAAAACAATTAACTTTCTATGAAGAATTTTATTATTTACAATAAAAAAAATTGATTTTTATTAAAATTACATTGAAAAAAATTAAATACTTTCAAAAATTCAATTATTTATATCAATACCTAATTGAATTGTTTAAAGGAATTGAATTTAAAATTATTGAAATTCTCGAAGAAATCAATTGAAATTGTATTGAAAATAAGTGAAATCCTGATAAGAATTTTATTATTTATATAAAAATAATTGTTTTTTTTACGAAGATTTTTATTATTTATAAATTGACTTTTTGCAAAGAATTTTATTAAATGTATTGAAAATAATTGAATTCATCATAAAATTCAATTACTTTCAAAATTGTCAGTAAAAATTATTAAAAAAAACTCCACTATTTTCAAGAATATTGAAATAAATTCTTCAAAACAATTCAATTATTTTAAAGAATTTTAATAAAAATTTTGCCAAGAATTAAATTATTTTCAATACAATTTTAATTATATTTTCTCAAAAGAATTCAATAATAAAATACTTTACAAGAATTCAATGATTGTCAGTATACATATTAATTTTAAAATTGAAAACATTTAAAAAGGAAAATTATTTCAAAAGTTGTGAAACAAAAAAGCAAACAGCAACTAGCTTCATACTGCGAAAAGATTACCGGAATACAACGATTATTAACATCTAAATAATAACTATAAAATCTAAGTAATAAATATAAAATATAAATAATTTGAAGTAATTGAATATATTACGAAAGTTTAATAGAAGGTGAATTGTTTAGTAATTAGAATAATTTTTTTTTGGAAAGCATATCTGATTCACGTGATAAAGGGGCATTAAAGTGACGATAATAAAATACTAATTACCGCCAGCAAAAGTCGGTAATATACATGAATCGCTATGCAAATTTCTTTTCGTTGAAATGATTTTTTTATTTTTAAATTTAGATTTTGTTCTTTTGTTATTAATTCTACATAAATTAATGAATATTTACCTAGCAAAACGGAGCATCCTCCAACATTATCAATCATTATTGCAACTGGTCGAGGACTAAAAACACGAACTCCAAGGTATCCAACGACAACGCCGCCCAAACATCTCGCTGGACCGCTCAAATGTCCAGCTGAATTATGCAACACTCTAATTGGAGTTGCATTTTCATGAGAGGACATACCAAGCTATAAAGCAAAAAAAGAATCTTTCATTTTTTAGAATTCAATATACATATTTAAAAAATAATTTTTTTCAAAAAGGTATTTTTAAATATATTTAAAAATGTATTTTTATCTTCTAAATAAATAAATAAAAAGGTATTTCTGAATAATGTAGGTATTTATTATTTAAATCTAAAAATAACAGACGCTTTGTAAATTGCGGTTTTGAAAATTTTGCAAATAAAAAAAATAGTTACGAGTGTTTTAAAAATTCGTATTTATAGAAATAAAGTATTAAAAATATCAAACAAGTTAATTTTAAAAGCGACACAACTCGTAATTTAATTTTCCATGAAAAAGTCAAGTTTAATTACACTGTCAATAATATTTATGATTTATTTTTTAAATAAAATTAAAAATGATTAATTTTTATTATATTCACCTGTTTAGCAATGGCTTTATTATCGGCTCTTCTGTAGACTTTTCTAATTTTCGCCAATGTCAATTGTGAGACTGCTTTCGCGTTTAAGCCAAAGACAACTTTTTCTTCTGCCACCAGAGGCGACAATGGTTCCGGACCTGAAGAAAATAAAGCCCTTATTTTAAAGATAATAAAAGAAATTTAATTTTGAATAAAATATAAAAAAATGTTTTGAGAAAAAAATTGCAAAAATCAAAAAGAATAAACAGGTTTATCTATTAAAATAAATTATATAAAAATTAAAAATTAATTACATTGCAGCGAACTTTTATCAATTATTATGCAGAATTTTATATTGTATTTTTCGAAATTTTAATTATTAATTCTTAAAAATAAAATTATAGATTTAAATCTTTTTACAATTAGCGAATTAATAAAAATTCTAATTTACTCTAAACGCAACTTGTATCCATTAAATAGTTACTTTTTAAACTAACAAACATCTGAATACAATCGATTGTGACTCATGTAAAAATTTAAATATTTACTAATTATTAAAGAAAATACTATAAGAAATTTATTCTTTCCAGAGAAATATTCATTTAAAATTGCATTGAAAATAATTTAATTCTTATAAAGAATTTTATCAAAACTTTTGAAAATAAAAGAATTCTGTCGAAAAATTATATTAAATAAAAAAATAATTGAATTTATTCAAGAAATTTTACTAAAATTGTATAGAAAATTGTTGAATTTATAAAAATAATTTTATTATTTATGAAAAAAATTAAATTCGTGGAGAGAATTTTATTATTTATAAAAAAAATTAAATTCGTGGAGAGAATTTTATTATTTAAAAAAAAATTGAATTCCTGCCGAGAATATAATTATTTAAAAATATTTATATATTGAAATCTAGTTAAAAATTTTACTATTAATGAAAATAATTGAATCCTTTCAAAGAATTTTATTATAAATTTTCAAAAATAATTCAAAACCTACAGAGAATTTTATTACTGAAATATTTATGAAAATAATATTGGACTTTTTCGAGAAATTTAATTAAAATTGTACTGAAAAAAATTTTAATCCCTGTCGTCTGCATTTTGAAATCGTCACTTTTATGCATTTGAAATAAAAAAATATTGTAAGTAACACGTAAACAAAGGCAGTCCAATTTGTTTTCAATGATTTTTGTGACACGAGTGAAGGTTTCGGGGAGCCCTCGACCTTCACTCATGTCACAAAAATCACCGTAAACAAATTGGGCTGTCTTTATTTCCCTGTTACTTAAATTAAAATACTATTATTCTTATACAGAATTTTATAAAAGTTTTGAATACATAAAAATAATTTATTTCCTGCGAAGAATTTTATTATTTATGAAAATAATTAACTTCCTATGACGAATTTTATTATTTACAAACAAAAATTGAATTCCAGCGAAGAATTTAATTATTTATTAAATAATTTAAATCTTCGCTGGAATTTAATTAAATTTCTAATGAAAGAATTTTATTTTTTATAAAAGTAATTGAATTCTTGTGAAGAATTTTATTAAAATTCTTGAAAATAATTAAATTGCTAAGAGAAATTTAATTAGTTATAAAAATAATTGAATTCTTTTGAGGAATTTAATTGTTAAATTATATTGTGAAATATTCAAATTTTATAAAGAATTTAAAAAAAACTAACAAATGTTACGCGCTCTAGCGCGCGGAACGTGATATTCCATGTATTATTATTATGCAAATTACAAAATTTTTTATTTTCAAATAGGTAAATTTTTTAAATAATTTCATAATCAAAATTTTTTAAATTCACTTATTAAGTACAAAATTAATTATTACTGTTCATATTTACAAAAATTTTAATAAAATCTCACGAAAGGATTCAATTTTTTTCTAAAATTTTAATAAATCCTTCGAAAAAATTCAATTATTTTTTTAAATATAGTAAAGCCTTTGCAAAAATTCAATTTATTTTATAAATAGTAAAATTCTTTGCAGGAATTCAATTAATTTCAAAACAATTTAAATTGAATTCCTCGGATGAATTCAAATATTTTTAAATATTTCCATAAATTTCGATTATTTCCTAAAATTTTAATAAATTCTTCGAAACAATTCAACTATTTTTATAAATAATACTAAAATTCTTTGCAGGAATTATATTATTTTTAATCTAATTTAAATAAAATTACACTAAAGAATTTAATTATTTTCAAAAATTTCCATAAAATTCAATTTCAAAAAGAATTTAAAATTCTCTAAAAATAATTCAATTACTTTCGAAACAACTTTAATATTGAATTTCTCGAAAAAATTTAATTATTTTCAAATATTTCTATAAAATTCTTCATAACAATTTAATTATTTCTTAAAATTTTAATAAATTCTTCGAAACATTTCAATTATTTTTATAAATAGTAAAATTCTTCGCAATAATTCAATCAATTATTTTTATAAATAGTAAAATCCTTTGCAGAAATTCAATTCTTTTAAAAAAAATTTTAATAGAATTCCTTAAAAAAATTAAAATTTTCAAATATTAACATAAAATTCATTTATTTTCTATAATTTTAATGAATTCTTCGGAATAATTCAATTATTTTTATAAATAGTAAAATTCTTCGCAAGAATTCAATTATTTTCAATGCAATTTTAATAAAATTTTTCTTCATAAAATTCAATTGCTTTTAAAATTTTGAATTAAAGTTATTAAAGAAACTCTATTAGTTTGAAAAATTCAAAGAAATTCTTCAAAAGAATTTAATTAGAATTTTTAAAAAATTTTATAAAAATTTTTAGTGAGAATTCAGTTATTTTTCTAAATAATAAAATTCTTTGAAGGAATTCTATTATTATCAAATTTTTTGATAAAATTCTTTGCAACAATTCGATGATTTTCAATACATTAATTTTAAAATTGAAAATATTTGAAAAGAAAAATTATAAAAAAGTTAAGAAACAAAAAAGCAAACAACAACTAACTTCAAACTGCGAAGAGATTACCGGAACATGTACTTTATTATTATTAAATGTGAAAATATTTTAATTCTTTTAAAGAATTTTATTACAATTTTTTAAATTAATTAAATCCTTCAGAGAAATTTTAATAAAATTGTATTGAAAATATCTGATTGTAGTCCTGCGAATAATTTTATTATTTATGGAAATAATTGAATTCTTGTGAAGAATTTTATTAAAATTTTTGAAAATAATTGAATTTCTGTGAGAAATTTTATTATTTATGAAAATAATTGAACTCATGCAAGAAATTTTATTCAAATTTAGAAATAATAATTAGTAAGATTATTCGTATAGTTATTAGAATTAGATTAAAATAATTTTTTAAGGTGAAAAAATTTCAAGGAGAATTTCTGTAGTAACTGCAGAAATTTTTAACTTTTTCCAGTACCTACTTTTAATAAAATTCCCCGACATTGCCCTGATTTTTCTGACTATTTTTAGTTTCCCAAACTTTTTTTTCAAACTTTTGGAGCAAAAAATCCCCCTCAAAAAAGAAAATAAATGTATTAGCTTTTGAAACAAAAAATGACAAATAGAAGAAAAAAAGTTTCAAATCTTTTTGTGCAAGAAATAACAAAAAAAGAAAATAAAATAAATTTCCAAACTTCCAGAATAAATAATAGGAAAAAAAGGATAAAATTTCGTTTTTAACTTTTGGATGAAAAAAAATCTCACCAACGAGTTGCGGAGCTTGTAAACTGCCCATATAATGGGGACCAAGTTTAAACAAAGTCGCAATACTTTGAGGATTGAAGACTTCTTCGACAAGATGACAAGGTCCTTGTTTCCACGCTAATCTCGAGTATCGACGCCAACATGGTGGCGTTCCAATGTAACCATAAACAGGTGGTGCAATCGTTAAATTTGCCGCTCCACCTCCAGGAGTTTGCGAAATATAATGAAGCTAAAAAAATTCATTTTTATCTCAATACATTTTTGAACAAAAATTCTTTTTCACTTCCAACAAAATTAATCACAATATCAACCTTTTCTTAAAATTTCCTCAACTAAACGATAATTTTCTTTTTATCAACATATATCAAAATTTCCCGCATCTCTCTTTTTCTTTAAAAAAAAAAGATCTTTTTCTTTAGACAAAAAAAAAGATTTCAATTTTCTCAAAAAAAAAATAGAAATTTTGTGCCAAAAAAAAAGAATGAAAATTTCTAAAACCATTTTTCTCGTCTCGAACAATATTAATTTTGATTTTCTAGAATTTAGAAAATCGAGAGAAACTCACTTTTTGACTGTAGATTTGTTGTCCATCTAAATATAGGGAGAAACTTGAATTTTTTAATACGGCTCGATTAAGAACAATGGCAATGTGATGCCACTGTCCTTCATGAAGCAAATCTGGACACCAAACTCTTGCTCCGCATTCTTCTGTCCCTTCTGGCTCCCATTCGCCAATATCTATAAATAAGATGATTACAGTTAAGGAACTGACAAGCCTTTTTATTCAATTGATAGTGTATTAGGAAAGAAGGAAATTAATTTATATAGTGAATAATTCTCTTTCGAGTGTTTTTATCATAAAGTGCGCAATAAAAATCAGAACACTCGACACATTCATACTTTCTTATTTCCCCTGTAATCGAAAATCCAATTTTTGTATTCCCGCGTTTCTGTCAATTAGACTCCAATAATTTTAGAAATACTTCTTTTTATTTATAAATTTTCTTCAATTTATTTACTTTTTCTAAAATTTTCAATTTACATTTTTAAATTTTTTTTATTTAGGAAAGTTTTTGTTTAATTTGAAAATTCCACTTAATTTTCGAATTTAATTTAATTTGGGGATTTCATTTAATTTTGAAATCTAATTCAATTTTGGGAATTTAATTTAAGAATTTATTTGTATAAAAATTATTCTTTTTCTCTTTCTTTAATTTTCCCTAAAATTGGAATATATAGTTTGAGATATAATTTTTGTAATAATTAAAATATTATACTCACTTTGCGGTAAAGGAGTCTCTTGTGTAGAAACGATAATGGCTTTATCTCTGGCACTTAAAACGGCTGTGAGACAAATTAAATCTTTTGCGGTTGAAACACTTCTCACTAGTGTTAAAAGTCTCACGCAATGCGGATCGGTCCTAGGATCACTAAATTTATCTACACAAATCCAGGTACTGTATGTCAATCCCGTTTGCGGTGGGAATGGTCTGTCACCTGAAACATTAATCGCAACATAAAGCAATTAAAATTCGGAAGATTTGAGATTTTAATCTTGAAATAGATTTGAAATTTCAAAAACATTGGACATTAGATTCAATGAAATTTGCTAAAACTAAATTAAAATTATCAGAACATAAATTTTCAGCGAATTAAATTTACAATTAAAAATTTTAATTCATTGCAATTTAAATAATCCAAATAAATAATTAACAACGATTACGCGCGCTATTTGTTATAATTTTCCAAGTTAAAAAATTTTTACATTTTTAAATATAAACATAATTTTTTGAATAACAGGGTTGCCACAAAAATTAAATTTTGCTTTTCCCTGACTTTTCTCTGATTTCCGGAAAGAATTTTGACATTTTCCCTGACCCTAAAGAATATTCTGATTATTATTTTTCCTTGAGAACTAAGATTTTCAAAAATATCAAATTTAAAACTTTTTGAAATTCAATAACTTTATAATAAATAAAAAAAATTTGGATGCTGCCCACAAAAATTACTACAAATACAGAAATTAAATTTAAACGTTTTGAAATACATTTTTACCAGATTTTCAGAAAATTTCAATTACTTTTTAATAGAATAATTCTACAATTATTGTAGAAAATGCCAATTATTTTACAAAATTTCAATTACTGGTTTATAACAATTCAAAAAAATTTTAAAAAGCAAAATTGAAATATTTTAAAAATTACATTTTTAAGAATTTTAAACAAAACTTATCACCAAAAATTTAATTTTTTTAAAAGAAATTAGTTATTTAAATATTTTAAAATTATCTAATTAATCAAAATATTAATGGTAACTCTATCAAAATCAAATTATTTTCGATGCAATTTAGATGATTAGATAAATGTGAAGTATTTTATTATTTATGGAAGTAATTGAATTCTTTCAAAGAATTTTATTAAAATTTTTGAAATAAGGAATTTCATTAAAAATTTTTTTAAAATAATGAAAAATTAGATAATCAGTTGATAAGTGAATCTTTTTAATTTTGAATCTGAAATTATTCGAAAATGGAATTCTTTTCAGAAATTTTATAAATATTTTATTAAAAATAATTGAATCCTTTCAAAGAATTTTATTTAAATTTTTAAAAATAATTGAATTCTTCAAGATTTTTATTAAAATTGCATTGGAAATAATTGAATTCTCACGAAGCATTTTATTAACATGTTTTAAAATAATTGATATTTTCCAAAGAATTTTATTAAATTTTTTTTGAAAATAAATAAATTCTTTAGAAGAATTGAGGAGCAAATTTTCAAAAGCTGATAAATCCATTTTTTTAAAAATTGAGATAAACATAAATTTAATATTTTAAAGACCTCACAAATCGACCTGTCACTGTTAAATGTAAGAAAAAAAATTTATTAACAACGAATTTTCAATTTAAAAACTTTTTGACATAACCAAGATGACTTATAATTTTTATGTTTTTGATTAGAAAAAATTACCAAAACCTTTAAATTACTTAATTATGATAATGTTTAATTAAAAACAGAACGTCTTAAATATAAAAACATTGTTATAAAAATTAATTAATACAAATTTTTTAATTTAAAATTAACTATAGTGGTCATGTGAGAAAAGTCATTTGTTTCATTTTCTCGAAATAAGAAAATATGGATTTATCAAGTTTTGAAAACTTGCTCCTCAATTTTATTATTATAAAATTTATTGAATTCTAGTTAAGTATTAAATACTTTTAAAAAATTCAATTATTTATAACAATAATTGAATTATTTAAAGGAATTAAATTGAAAATTATTGGATTTTACGAAGAATTTAATTAAAATTGTATTGAAAATAATTAATTTCAAGTAAAATTGAAATAAACTTTTTCGAAAAAATTGATTCTTCTACAGAATTGTTAGTTAAAAGTATGAAAAATTAAAATGTTCAAAGATTTGAAATCTTTTCAAAATCCAATTATTTTTAAAAATTCACGCTATAATACTTTTAATATTCAATTATTATCTAAAATTTTAACTGAAATTCCATTCCACTTCAATTCAATTTTTGATTAGAAAATTCTACGAAAATTCAATTATTTAAATAAATAAAAAAAAATTTATTAAATAATTGAATTCTCGAAAAGATTTTTATTACAAATTTTTAAAAAATTGAATTCTTTCGACGAATTTTAATAAATATTTTAAGAATAATCACACTTTTCGAGGAATTCCATTAAAATTGTATTAAAAATAATTGAAATTCTGCATTCAGTTTTATTATTTATGAAAACAATTGAATTCCTAGAAAGAATTTAAATAATTTAAATAATAATAATAAATAATAAATTTAAATAATTGAATTCCTGTTCAATTTTTATAGTTTTATGAAAATCATTAAATGTTTGCGTAGAATTTTATTCAATTTTTTTTAAATAATTGAATTCTTTTGGAAAATATTATTAAAATAGTAGATATTAAAAATCATTGAATTGGGGAAAATTTTTGAAAATAATTGAATTTCTACGAAGATTATTATTTATTATGAAAACAATTAATTTTTCATGAAGAATTATATTATTTATACAACAAAAATAATTGAATTTTAGGGAAGAATTTTATTAAAATAACATTAAAAAAATTGAATAATTTCGAAAATTCAATTATTTATAACAATAATTATATTCTTTAAAGGAATTAAATTAAAAATTTTTGAATTTTACGAAGAATTTAATTCAAATTGTATTGTAAATAATTTAATTCTTACGAAGAATTTTATTAAAACTTTAAAAAATAATTGCATTTTCCCAAAGAGTTTAATTATTATAATTTTTGAGAATAATTGAATTTTAGTGTAGAATTTTACTATATTTATAAAAATAATTGAATTCTTTTGAGGAGTTTAATTAAAATTATATTGAAAAAAGAATAGAAAATTTTTTTTTTATAAAGAATTTTTTCTAACACACGCATGGAAAGTACATCATTTCTTACCTGTGTAGAGGGTGAAAAGTATGTATTTTCCGACGAGAGGGAGGGAATGTTACTTTACCTCCCTCTGACGTCATAGCGGGGAGAGAAAAGTATACTTTACCTCCCCGTGACGTCATAGCGGGGAGAGAAAAGTACTTTACCTCCCTGTCGTCCAAAATCACATGTAATATATTTTAATAACAATGTAAAGATAAAATGTATCTTTATTTACGACTAAATATATGTTTTATTAAATTGTTTTAATTGTTAAAATTGTTAAATTGTTGTTTTTGTTTGTTTTTTAATTTGTTTAAATTGTTAAATTGTTGTTTATTGTTATTGTTAAATTTGTTAATTTTTAATAATTAATCATTTTAAAAAATTATACTATTATTATAATAAACTTTCGGTTGAAAACACTATTGTCGTTAAAATTTTTTATGAAGTGGTTGTACTTTCCGTTTACGTGTGTTAGAAAAAATAGTATGTGAAATCTTCTATTTTCCTCCCTAGATGTGTGCATCAATATACATACTATTATTATAACAAAATTTTGAAAATAATTTATATCTTTTAAAGAATTTTATTGCGATTTTTAAAATTTATTAAATGCTTTAGAGAAATTTTAATAAAATTGTATGGAAAATATCTAATTGAAGGCCTGCGAATAATTTTATTATTTATGAAAATAATTGAATTCTCGTCGAGAATTTTATTAAATTTTTTGAAAATATTTAAAATCCTGCGAGAAATTTTATTATATTTATGAAAATAATTGAATTCTTACGAAGAATTTTATTAAAATTTTTTGAAATAATAATTAGTTTCAATTTTTGTATAGGGTAGAGTGGGGTAAAAAAGCAACATTTTTACTTTTGATGTTGTAAAATCTGTATTTAAAATTTTTTTCTCAAATTTCCAATTGTTATTGAAAGTTTAGTTATTACGCTTGAAAATTCTTGACGGAAATATTTTTTATCTCATGAAAGGACTAAGTTATAAGAGTTTTACTAAAGCACTGTAAAGTGGCTTTTTTGCACCACCTGGTGGGGTGAAAAAGCCACCCTACGATTTTAGCAAAACATGTTATCAATTTAGGTATTTTTATAGTTTCCCTTTATTTATATGACAAATAGTCTTATTTGAAAAATATTCTAATAATTATGAAAGAGTTTTTAGCAAGCAAAATTGAAAATTATATTAAGTTTACCTGTTTTCCATTTGCACTGCCAATTTTTCGTACCTTTTTTAGAAGTTCTCTTTAAGTTTTACCACAGATAACATATTTCGTTGCAACCGTTTATTCATTGTTTATTTTTTAAATGCACTTTGAACTACTTTTTCGTCGTGTTTAATTTATTTTATTAAATAAACACGAGAAATTTTGTAAAATAAGAAGGTTAGTTTAAATAGAAAACAAGTGAATTTCACTAAATATTCAATGGATTTTTTGCCCTGGCTTTTTTACACCCAAGACCAGTTATTAAAAAAAGCAAAAATAAATTGTTAATTCAGTTCAATTTCCCAAAATTAACATTGTATACGTTTTCGGTATACTTTTCTCCTTATGTACAAACATTTACTTTTATTATTCGTTCACTTAATCAAATTGTAATATGTTTGAAAAGTTCACCAAAATGTTTTCAAAAAAGCAACAAAAAATTAAAATTATAATAAAAACAATATTAATCTAGGTACAACATTCAAATTAGATTCAAAAGTTGCGTATTACCTAATAGTATTTATATTCTAAACAGCTGATAAATCGGCTTAATAGTTTTTAAATAAAACTCAAATGGCTTTTTTACACCATGGCTTTTTTACCCCACTCTACCCTAGTTATTAGAATTAATTTTTTTTTAAGGTGAAAAAATTTCAAGGAGAATTCAAGTTTTTTAAGTATTTCAAAAATGCTTTTAAATATCAAAAATCAGATGTTTTGTAGTAATTTTAGAAATTTGAGATTTTTACAGCACTTTTGTTTAAATTCTCTGGCATTTCTCTGAGCTGTGAAAATATTAAATTCTAGGAATTTGGTATTTTTCCTGTATTTTTGTTAAAATTCTCTGACATTTTCCTGAGATGTGTCAACCCTGTAGAGGTAATTTAAGAAATAAAGACTCACCGGATCCGATTCCCCCGACAACGCTATTATCAGCCGAAACAACAGTGGGTGGTGTTGTACTTTGAGGAGCGACACTCGGCAAATATAAGCAAGCAAAACCCTCGGCGCTCATGTCGAATTCAACGAAAGGTGGCAAAGTACAAGAACCATGTGCACGAAAATCCTTTGGCGTTGTCATCGAAACAAGTGTCTTAATTCTCGTCAATGGAACTGGACCACCACGTGGTTTATTCGGATCAATATCATCGAGCGATATACAACACAATGGATCGCCCAATCGTAAAAATTCCCTCAAATCCCTCGGCTCTAATGCTTGTGCCGCTTGTCGTTCAATAATATATTGCAACGGTTGATGTAAAGGATGCGTCTCGTCCTGCAACGCCGTGCGTCCCATCGACAATAATTCGCCCGCCATTCCAGCCTCACACATTATTTGCTGATTCCTCTCGGAACGTACCAAACTCTTAATAACCTCAGCCACATACAATTGCAATGCAAGAGCAATTTCCGGTCTCGATTCGTCCATTATCGACGGCAAAAGATGCAGCATTCCAATGACAATGCCCGGATGAACGACAATTGGCTCCGGCACCGGCGGATTCAAATTCAACGAATTCACTGTACTTCGTTTAACAGCAAGCGGCGAATCAATATACTTTGGATGTTCAATGCTGCTCTGTCGATGACTCGGTGAACGCATTCCAACACCGGCTAAATTTGGTTTATCAAAAGCATCCAGTGCAACGTCATAGAGAAGTCTCAATAAAAGGCAGGCGTAACCAAGCTTTTTTGGTATTTCAGCGGGAAATGCCGGCTCCAATGTACTGCCGGTGAATAATGCAAGGAGAATATTGTGATAATTGTGTGTTGTTGCGACATCAGTTTCGAAAAGTTTTGTTCTTGTTGTAAAACAGCCCAGTAATCTTAATGTATCACACAGACTTGATTGACAAATTTCGTGATGAAAGAATTTTGCGTTCGCCGGCTCAAAACGCATGGCAGTACTTATTGTATGAAATACGACATGTAACAATGTCAATAATTGTGATTCATCTTGACTGCTTCTTTGTATTGTACCAGAAAAATCATTGTTCTCAATTTCAGGACCAAGTTGACCCTCGAGGGAAACAAGAACTGACATCATGTAAACGAAGCCACTTACTTTGCGAAATACCGTTCTTGTACGGTGGGACTCTCTCAGGCAGGACAATAACGACTGAAAAATGAAAATTTATTTTATTACAATTTATGTAAAATTTATTCAATTCATTTAAAATAATTAAATTAAATATAAAATTACATACGTAGGAAAAATAATTAAATTCAAATTCAATTAATGTAAAAGAATATTGACAAAAAAATTGAAGAAGAAAATAAAAGAAAATTAATTGATTGGTCTAACACTTTTTTATCAATGAAAATTATAAATAAATAAAATAGCAATGAAATTTTTAAATATTAATTTCAATTTTAAAATAATCTGAGACACAAAATTTAAAAATAATTCAATTTTTAACTAATTAACTAATTTATTATAATCATTTATTGCTTTCAGAAACTTTAACAAAATTCTTTGCAGGAATTCAATTATTTTCAATAAAATTTCTCAAAAGAATTCAATTATTTTTTTAAATTTGATAATTTTTCGCAAAAATCCAATAGTTTTGAAAGATTTGGATTCAATTCTTTATGACAATAGAAATATTTTCAATACAATTTTAATTACACTCCTCAAAAAAATTCTACTATTTTGGAAAATTTTAATTAAATTCTTGTCAAGATTTCAATTATTTTCATTAATTTATAAAATTTTTCATAAAAATTGAATTATTTTCATAATTTATAAAATTTTTCACAAAGATTCAATTATTTCTATATAAATAATAAAACTATTTGCAGAAATTCAATTATGAAAAATTTTGGTCAAATTTTTTAGAACATTTAAAATATTTTCATAATTAATAAAATTTTTCAAAAGAATGCAATTATCTAAAAAAATGTTAATTATAAAATTCTTCTCAGAAATTCAATTATTTTCAAAAATTTTGTTAAAATTTTTAAGAAGAATTTAAATTTTTTAATAAAATATTTCGCAGGAATTCAATTATTTTTAAAAGTTGAATAAAACTCTTCGCAAAAATTCAATAATTTTGAAAAATTTTGATTAAATTCTTTATGATATTGAAATATTTCCCATGCAATTTTAATTAAATATGACTTGGTACTTTCCCAAATGATTATAATTATTTAGAAAACCTTGACTACATGCAAAATGAGGTTTTTTGGAGAATCACCCATATATTTTTATAATTAGAGAAATTCTTCTAGGGATTTAAATTATTTTCATAAATAATAACATTTCTCGAAAGAATTCAATTATTTAATATAATGTTAATTGTGATATTCTTTGCAAAAATTCAAATTATTTTTAAAAATTTTGACAAAATTTTTTATATAAGAATTGAAATATTTAAATTTCTTTATAACAATTCAATTATTTCAGATTAAAAATTATAGAAGGAATAATATAAAAAGAAATATTCTTAATTGAAAACAATTTTGATTAATTAATTTTTAGATTATTTAATCTTCAAAGCATTTAATTAGAATTTCATTAATTTTAAAATTCAAAACATTAAAAAGAAAAATTATTAAGAAAATTTGGAAACAAAAAGCCAACGAAAACACTTAATTAACTTCAAACTCCGGAACAGATTACCGGAATACAACGATTATTAATATATAGAAGATTTTTACTCAAATCTAGTGCAAGTTTTGAAAATTTATCATAATTTTTCAAATTCGAATTGTACTGAAAATAATTCAATTCTATTAGGAAATTTTATTAGATTTGTTTTTAAAAGTAAATAAATCAATTCTTGCAAAAAACTTTATTAAAATTTATGGAAATAATTGAATTTTTGGGAAAAATTTTATTAAAATTTGTATAAATAATTGAATTCTATTCTATTGAAAATTGAATTTTTATCAAAATTTTTGAAAATAATTGAATTGTTTCGAAGAATTTTATTAGAATTAAAAAAAATATATTAAAATTCATAGGAAGAATTTTATTATTTATTCATTTCAGTAGAGAACCTTTTTAATTCGAATTATTAAAACTTTAAGAAAGTTATTCTAGAATTGAAATTATAAAAAAAAACATATGTACAATAAACTAAGTGCAATGCAACTCGGGAATTTTAATCTACACATAAAAAGTTTTCACCAAATACCTATTCAGTGACAAAATTTTTTTAAAAAGTTTGAAAAATGGTGAAAAAGTGTCACGCTGTGATCCCTGGTTGTGAAAAAATTATAGAGAGTAATTTTTATTACCTACTTTGATAAAAAAATAATTTTTGTTTAATTTTTTTTAGAAATGGCTTTTTAACTTTAAAATATGTGTCTTAAGAAGCTTTTTACCTTTAGAATATGTGTCTTGAGAACAAGAGCAGAAGGAGGCGCTGAATGCATAACGCCAAGTAATGTAGCCATATCGTCATCACCGCCAGCCGTGAGAATTAATTCTCGAACAATTCCAAGCACTTGATAACGACAATCAATATAGGGAACAAGATTGTGAGCGCAACGTGCACCACCGCATTCACGAAAAACATTCGCATTTTGAACATTTCCTGCCAATAATGTTGTCAGTGCTTCCATTATCAAGGCACCTAATTTCTCATCATCAGCACTTATTTTAAATTCTGCAAAATAAAAAATTCTTAATCAAATAATTCATATTATACAATTTATAAATAATAGGTACTATTTTCCATGATTTATTTCCATGTTGTCTTATTTATCTGATTTATTTATTTATTTAAATTATTATTATTTACAAACGGACTAGGTATTTTATATCTACAATTTTATCTGCCCTTTTCAAAAATTTTTAACAATTTTTCTCTCTACGATAACGAATAAAAATTATTATATTGAGTTTAATAAAATTTAATTAAATGTACAATTTCGGAAATAATTTCATAAATTAAATTAAATTTAAATTACAAAAATGTATGAAAACTGTTTTGAACTTTTGAAAATTAATTTTAAAATTCATAGAAGTAAATTTTGGAAACAAACTCTACGAACATTAATTGATTTATCATAATTTATTGTCTGTTTATAAATTGAGAATCAATAAAGCAACTAAGTTAACTGAATTTGTATTCGAGTAGAAATTGTGAAAAAATATCAGAATATTGTGATAAGTTACAGTTTACAGGCTTTGTACTCGATAATTAACTTTAAAAAAGGATAGAAAAGTAGCTTTAAAACTGAAAAAAGTTGTAATAAAGTAGCTTTCGCAAAATTAAATTTTTCGACTCAACTTTCTTATTATTTCTAAATTAAATTACATTCAATAATAATGGAATAACATTTTTTTAAATAAATATTTAGATACCTATTTAATTTTCCACAGGAATTAAAATATTTTAAATAATTTCAATGTAAAGCCTTTTTTGAAAAACTATTTTTAACAATTAAAACTTTAATTCTTCCAAAATTCATTTTTTGTTGTTAAAAATTTTAAATAAAATTATTTAAAACTTTAATAATTTTATTTTAAAATAAAAATTTAAGTACATTTTACAATAATTAAAATTTTCCAAGATTTCAATTTAAATTGTTTTGAAATTTAATTATTTCTAAAAATTCAAACTAAAATAAACAAAAAAAAAAGAGAAAAATTGAAAAAAGGGGAAATTGATAAGCTTGTTAAAATTCCAAGCGTTTTTAATCGATTTAAAAATTCTGTGGGAAAAATCTAATAAAATAGTGTGAAAAGAGAAAAAGTAGAATAATTCTTACCCGAACCCTGATCATGAGCTGCCTGCTTATCTTTCAAAAGAGTGGCATATCGCTGTAGACAGGTAACAAAGACTTCCAAAAGGCCTACTTCTCTATACACGTCCTTGAATATTGTATTGTGTCTGCAAAAATTAATAATTTTATTTTAAAAAATTCTCTTTTTATATTCAAAACAGTAAATAGGTAACAAATAAATTGTTTACAGTAATAAATTTTTACAATAATGAATTACTTTTCTTTATTTGGCAAATTATTTTAAAATCAATAATTTATTTATTTATTACAAGCTAAACGAGTATCAAATGAACTCTTTCGCACAAAAATACTAATTTTTGTTAAATAAGTATTTAAATACTTCTTTTTTGTTTTTTCACGGAAAATAAAATTTTCAAAATTTATTTAAAAGCTTCTGAAATTAAATAATTTCTAAAAATTACAACTGTAACCCTAACAAAATTCAATTATTTTCTACAATCTTCATCTCAAAATCAATTATTTTTAATAATTTTCTGAAAGTTCTTCGAGAATTCAATTATTTAAATACAAAAATTCAATTTTTTATATATGATTATAACTGTAGCTGTAAAAGTTTTTAAGGTACAATATTTTCGATAAATTATAATAAAGATATTCTAATAAATATCATGATAAAGATAGGGTAAGTGTACCAATTGCCGAGGGTGTTCCATTTGTCGATGTTACCATGGTAATAACCAAAAAATATTGTCTAAAATGTCTCATTTGTTTGTTTATATAATATTAATATATTTTTTTTACATTTATAACGCATAAAAAAATTAATATTTATTACTTTCTTTCATTTACAATGTGCTACACTGTTTAAATAAAATTCAAAGTTTGTTTACTCGACAACAGGAACCATCCTCGACAATTGGTACGTTTACCCTATTAAAAAATTAATTTTTTAAAAATGATTTTAAATTATTGTTTAAAGATAACAGCTTTTCAATCATATACAATTGAAAAATTTTCAAATAATTGAAATTTGGTAAAATCTTTTTTAAATAATTGAATTTTGGTAAAATGTTTTAAAAAATAATTGAATTTTTGAAAAATATAAAAAAACATAATCAAATTTTTAAAGAATTTTAATTATAAATATGAACATGATTTCTCCAAAATTTTATTAAGTCAAAAAAAGTAAATTTAAAAAAATTTTTATTTTCTTTGTTCGAAGATAATTGAATCTAAAAAATTTATGATAAAACAATTCTAACAACTATGTAGTTTTTTTAAATTATTGCAATGTAATTTTTTGAAAATAATTGAATTTCTTAAAAGAATTTTTGTATAATTTAAAAAACTAATTAATTTTTTGAAGAATTTTAATTAAAAATCTTGAATTTGATTGATTTCTCCAAAAGATTAAAAATAATTCAAAAAAATTCTAATATTTTTTTTTGTATTTGAATTTTCAGAAATATGTTTAATTGAAAAAAAATATTGAAAATAATTCAATTTAAAAAAAATTAGAATAAATAAATTCTAAGAATTACCTTTTTCAAAAATATTTTAATATAATTTTTAGAAGCTAATTTTCATTAATTTTAATTTTTAAATTTAGTCTTGAAGATTTTTCATTAAAATTTTTCGAATTCAATTATTTTCAAAATTTTTAATAAAAAAAGATTCAAAAAATTTAAATAAAATTCTTCTCAAGAATTCAGTCATTTTCAAAAATGTTGAAAAATTTTTTTTGTGAGAATTCAATTATTGTCAATACAATTGTAATTAAATTCTTCGAAAGAATTGAATTATTTTTAATTTATTATTAATGAAATTATTCGAAATAATTGAATTATTCTTTTTAATTTTCATAAAATGATTAAAAAAAATGCATTTATTTTTAAAAATGTTAAGAAAATTTTTTGCAATAATTCAATTATTTTCAATACAATTTTAATTAAATTCCTCGAAAGAACTGAATTATTTTCAAAATTTTTAATAAAAAAAGATTCAAAAAATTTAAATAAAATTCTTCTCAAGAATTCAGTCATTTTCAAAAATGTTGAAAAATTTTTTTTGTGAGAATTCAATTATGTATTGTCAATACAATTGTAATTAAATTCTTCGAAAGAATTGAATTATTTTTAATTTATTAATGAAATTATTCGAAATAATTGAATTATCCTTTTTAATTTTCATAAAATGATTTAAAAAAATGCATTTATTTTTAAAAATGTTAAGAAAATTTCTTGCAATAATTCAATTATTTTCAATACAATTTTAATTAAATTCCTCGAAAGAACTGAATTATTTTCAAAATTTTAATAAATTTTCAATACAATTTTAATTAAATTCCTCGAAAGAACTGAATTATTTTCAAAATTTTAATAAAAAATGCTTCAAAAAATTTCAAATTATTTTCAAAAATTTTAATAAAATTCTTCTCAAGAATTAAGTTATTTTCAAAAATGTTAAAAAAATTTTTCGTAAGAATTCAATTACTTTCAAAATTTGCAATTAAAATTCCTCAAAAGTTGATTTTCAAAAATTGTAATAAAATACTTGAAAAAAATCAATTATTTTCTATTAAATTTGAATAAATTTCAATTATTCAAAAATTTTTTAATTATGCATTTTATAAATTTAATTATCTTTAAAAAATGATTCAAAAATAATTTTAAAAATATTTGTCTTTAATTATTTTCCACACTACAACATTCAAAATTAGTTGCATTTTATACTAAAAATCTGGTATTTTGTTGCAAAATATTTGTTACAATAGTCGAAAAAAATCGTAATTTTTGAAAATAAGTCCGAAAAAAGTCACATTTTTCAGAAAATAGTCGAAAAAGTCATGAAATATCCATGGCCTAAATCTATTTATTTAAAATAACTAAATAAAGAGAATCCTTCAAATAATTTTAATAATTTTAAAAAAATGTATGAATCACAAGAAAAAAAATTGATTTACCTGAGAATGTTGATAAGAGTTTCCATGCACATAATACTGCAACTGATGGAATTATTTGTTTTCAGTAATATTGAAAGGGATATGAGTTCCTTGCAAGGCACAAAGTTTAATTGAAAAACTATAAATTCAAGTAGTTGAAAGAATTTTTCCTGGATTTCGAGATTCTTCAAGTGTATTTTCTCAGCGAATTGCGACAATGTATTTTGTCCCTCGAGAATAAAATAATTCGCATTATCGCTATGATAAACACTTGAAATTGCATCGAGTATCGTACAACACAAAAGTGGTGAATTCGATTTCACAAATACCGATTGAAGTACCTGGAATGCTTGAATATTCCGAACACTTCCACCTGTAAAAAAAAGGGAAAATAAATAAATAATCGGAAAAATCGTCATAAATTAAAGAAATGTTTTTCTGTAAATAAAAGTGTGAAAATTCTAATTGTTCTCCTTAAAAATAAAGAGAAAAAAATGTATTCAATTAACAATATTAAAATATAATAGTAACAGAAAAGAAAATTCGAAAAATAATTATAAGTTTGTAGGGATAATTTAAAATTAATTGTGAATTTATGAAGAATTAAAGAAATTCGAATATTTAACGTTTCTGTGAGATTAAATTTCTATAAAAAGACACAAAAGATTTGACTGATGCAATTATATTTTTCTCACATAAATCGATATTACTTTTAAATAGAGCATGATAAATGTTCTTGCGACTGACAATATACAAAAATATTTCATTTCACCTAGTTTTTCATTTAAAATCACAATCAATCGATTTATGACAATCAAGAGAAAAATATGAATTTTCACAATTATTTCATACTATTTTATACGCAGTTATAATATTTTATATTTCAGAAAAATATACCAAAAGAAAATTTATATTGAGTTTTAACCAAATATTAATTTTTTCAAATTAAAATAATTGAATATACAAAAAACAATCAAAGTATTTTTTTAAATAATTTAATATTCAGATTAATCACAAAAAATGCTAAATTTACCTTACGGAGAAATTAGTAAACTTAATTAATTTAAAAAAAATACTAATTTTACGTTACGGAAAAATTAGTGAAATTAATTAATTTCAAAAAAGTACTAATTTTACCTTACGGAAAAATTAGTAAAATTAATTAATTACAAAAAAGTGCTAATTTTTCCTTACGGAAAAATGAGTATTTTTTTGTAATTAATTTTAATATTAAATTTATTCTAATAAAAATTTTCTATTTTTTTATTCGACAACTTTTGTTGAGTGTAAAAATAAATTACCTCGATTACTTGGCTGGGGCAAAGTGAAGCCGAACATTTGAAAAAGAGAACCCATACTTGCTTGGCTTGGTTTTAACTCAGTGTGTCCGCACATTGTTAATGATGCGAGCATTAATACTAAATTTCTAATGGCATCTTGCGCTTCCGCTCTATTGTCCTGCTCTAATCTCGAGGGTGCGTGTCTGGATTAAAAAGAAATCACAATTAATCGGCACTCAACGAAAACATTTTATTGTCAATAAAAATGGAAATTCAAAAAAAAAAGAAAGAAAAAAAAGAACCAAATGATAAAAGAAAGTTAATACAAAGAAAAAGAATTGCAAAAAATAAAACGAATTGAGAAAATAGAAAGAATAAACAGAAATATTTAAAAAGAGTAAGGAAAAAATTGGGGAGAAAAATTGGAAAAATGAAAAGAAAATTGAAAGAATAAAAAGAAAAATAAAAAAAGAGAAAAAAATTTAAACAATGAAAAAAAATGTATAAAAGTAGGGAAAAAAATAAAAAAAAATAGAAAGAAACATTGAATGAATAGAAAAAAATTGAAGAAATAGAAATCAAAATAAAACAAGTAGAGAGAAAAATTGAAAAAATAGAAAAGAAAATCAGAAATGGAGAAAACTTGAACAAGTAAATAAATAAATAAACAGAGGAAAATTAAAAAAATAGAAAAAAAAATAAAAAAGCGTAGAAAGAAAAAATAATAAAAAGGGGGAAGAAATAAAAAATGAGAGAAAAATTGAATGAATCAAACGAAAAAACAAAGAAATAGAAAGAAAAATTTGAAAAATAGAAAAGAAAATCAAAAAAGAGAGAAAAATGAAAAAAGTAGAAAATAAATACATGAAATGAGAAAAATTGAATAAATTAAATAGTAAACAAAATTTAAAAGAATAAGAACAAAAAATTAAAAAATATGAAGAAAATAGGAGACAAATTAATAAAATAAAAAGACAAAGAAAAAAAGACAAAAGAATTAATAAAATGTGAAGAAAATTCAAAAAAGTAAAAAGAAGAAATAAAAAGTAGAGAGAAAAATAATAAAAAAGGGGGAAAATAAAAAATGAGAGAAAAATTAAATAAATAAAAAGAAAAATCAATAAGGTAGAGTGAAAAAAATGGAAAAATAAAGAAAAATTAGAAGAGCAGAAAGTAAAAACAAAAAAGTAGACAGAAAAATTGAAAAAGTAGAAAATAAATAATGAAAGAGAGAAAAATTGAAAAAATATACAGGAAAATAAAAATTAGTGACAAAAAATAAAATAATAGAATGAAAAATAAAATAAATAATAAAATAAATGGAAAAATTGAAAGAATAGAAAGCAAAATTGAATAAATGAGAAAAAATATAAGGAATAGAAAGAAAAATAAAAAAAGTAGATACAAAAATTGGAAAAATTAGAAGAATAGAAAGGAATAAAAAAAGTAGATACAAAAATTGGAAAAATAGAAAGAGAAAAAAATTGAAAAAAAGAAAAATAAATTTAAATAAGAAAAGTAATTAAAACAGAGAGATAAATTGAAATAATAGAAAAAATATCAAAAAGTAAAGAAATAAATTGAAAAAAAATGAAAAATAAATTGAAATAAAAGAAAAAGTAAGCGAAAAAGAGATAAAAATTAAAAGAATGGAAAGAAAATTGAAAAATTTAAAGAGTAGAAAGAAAGATAAAAAAAGAGAAATTTTAAAAAATTAGAAAAAAAAATTTTTAAAAATACAGGAAAATAAAAGGGAGAAAAATTAAAAAAATAGAAAAAAATCAAGAAAGATAAGAAAAATAGAAAGAAATGTTGAAAAAATAAAAAAAAAGAAAAAATTCAAAAAAAGAAGGAAAAGTTATAAGAATAGAAAGAAACATTCAAAAAATAGAAAAAGAATAAAAAAAGTATAGAAAAAATCAAAAATGTTGAGAGAAAAATTCAGAATAAAAAAAAATGAAAGAATAGAAAAAATCAAAAAAGTAATGAGAAATAGAGAATGAAAAATTAGAAGAATAGAAAGGAAAGATAATAAACTAGAGAGAGAGAAAAAGAAAAAATATAAAAAGAAATAAATAAAAAAATATACAGGCAAATTTTTATTTGTCTGTATATTTTTTCAGTTCAATGGAGAAAAAAATGAAATAATAGAAAAAAATAGAAAAAGTAATAAAATAAATGAAAAAATTAAAAGAATTGAAAGCAAAATTGTATAAATGGAGACAAATTTAAAAAGTAGAGAAAAAATTTAAAAAAAAGAAAGAAAAATTAATAGAGTAGGAAGAAAAATCGAAAATAGGTAATAAATTAGTAGAAAAAAAATAAATAAAAAGATTCTTAAAAATACAAACTAATATTAATTCATTCAATACTCACTTTAAGAGAAATTCGGAGAGGAAGATGTAACCTTGACAGGCACGAAAATCGTCCAAGAGCATTTGCAAAACCTCGCTGGAATCTTTCAGAAAGCAAAAAACAGTGACGAACATTTCAACAACTTCCAACGGTGCTAATTCCGGTACTCGTTGCATATTATCAATACAGAGTGCTATACAACCTTTATCTAAAACAGACAAAAACATTTTTTTAATTCTCTTTCCTTTCTCTCTTTATTCCTATTTTCTCTATTACAAGAATTTAAATTTAAATTTTCATACAATATTACAAAAGAAGAAAAAAAGTGATAAGCTTAATGTATATAAAAATTGTTCAGTAAATATTTTCCTTGGATAAAATTGAAAAACAAACAAATAAAATCTTTATAATTTTAATTAAATTTAATTTGTTTTTAAGTTAAAAAGAAAATTGTGATTAATTATTTTTTTGAAATAAAAAGGCTTACTGTGAATATAGGAAACGACATTTTGAGTGAGGCCGTGTCTTGACAGTGTCATAAGAACTTCAGCAGCGCTTTTGCGCCACATAACATTGTACTGAGGACATAAACTTGTAATCGCCGAGAAAAGTAACGTTAAATCATCTTTCCTGGCGAGTTCCTCCGCTGGATACGGATGACTGCATAGTCGGACCAACAACTGAAAAAGAAATTTCGATTTTCAAAAAATTATTTCTCCACTCGACAAGAAATATTAAAATTCCAATCATCTACTTCTATTTTTTATTTATTATTTCAAATTTAAGAAACGTATTTTTTTTAACAGTCAATTTTTATTTTCAAAAGTACTTTAATATTTAATTTTAATTGAACATTAAATTTATATAATTTACTACGCTTTTAACTGTAAATAAAATACATAATTAATAAATAAATGAGGGAGAATTTTTTACCTGAACGAATATTTTTTGTAATAATATTCTCCGTTCTCTGGGTGTAAATTCACTGTTTGCATCGGCGACATCGGCTTCTTCTTCGCTCATTTCAGGCAAATCGAAGAATAAATAGAGACACTTTACCAGAGTTGAGGGTACGGACGCCGTTGTCATCGCCTAATGAATTTTATTTTTCCGGTAAAGAAAAGAGAACAAGTATTAATTTACAGAGGAAGGAAAATCATCATTTTAATATAAAGTAAACAATAAAGAAAATAAAGAAATAAAATGTTTTAAAATAGAAATAAATTAAAAACTATTTAATTTACAGACGGACCTTAAGTTATTATAAATAACTAGTAAATTTTACAAGCGTGGAACGTGATATTCAATTTATTATTATTATGCAAATTACAAAAAATTTTATTTTCAAATATGAATAGTAAAAGTTTTTGCAAAAATTCTATTATTTTTAAACAAAATTTTAATAAAATTTCACGAACGAATACAATTATTTTCTAAAATTTAAATGAACCCTTCGAAACAATTCAATTTTATTATAATCAGTAAAATTATTTGCAAAAATTCAATTATTCTTAATGCAATTTTATTTACATTTCATGAAAAAATTGAGTTTTTAAAAAATATTTTCAAATATTTTTCGAAAAAATTCAATTATTTTCAAAAATTTTAATAAATTCTTCGAAACAATTCAATTATATTTATAAATAGTAAAATTCTTTGCATAAATTCAATAATATTCAAAACAATTTCACAAAAGAATTCAATTTTTTTTCTTAATTTTTTATAAAAAATTACAATAGAATTTAATTACTTTCTAAAATTCTAAAAAATTCTTCAAAAAAATTCAATTATATTTGTAAATAGTAAAACTCTTTGCAAAAATTCAATTATTTTCCAAAAAATTTCACGAAGGAATTAAATTCTTTTTTTAATTCGTACGTTACAAAATATTTCGAAAAAATTCAATTATTTTCTAAAATTTTAATAACATTTCATAAAAGAATTGAGTTTTTAAAAAAACATTTTCAAATATTTTTCGAAAAAATTCAATTATTTTCAAAAATTTTAATAAATTCTTCGAAACAATTGAATTATATTTATAAATAGTAAAATTATTTGCAAAAATTCAATTATTTTTAATGCAATTTCACGAAAGAATTCAATTTTTTTCTAAATTTGTAATAACAAATTACAATAGAATTGAATTATTTTCTAAAATTCTAATAAATTCTTCGAAAAAATTCAATTATATTCATAAAATTCAAAATTTGTAATTAAAATTATTTAAAAAAAACTCCATTATTCTATTATTATCAAATTTTTTAATAAAATTCTTTGTAACAATTTGATGATTTTTAATAAATTAATTGAAACCGCGCGTTGAAGTGGAATCTAACCTTGATAATGTTAATTTCGAGAAAAATGAAAAAAAGTGAAATTAAATTATTTTGGATAAAAAAGTTGTTTGAAATGTTTCCAAAGAAGAGAAAAACTGTTATATAAAGTGTTTCTCTAGTATTTTCTTTATTTTTTCATAAAAAATTGATAAATTATTTTTTCCAGTGGAAAAGGGATTTAAATGACAAATTCACTTAGATCCATTTTCCACGATGCAAACATTTTTTATTCATTAATTATTGGATTATTAAAATATTCAATATCGAATGGTTTTTTATTATTTTTATAATTATTAACAAGTATAAAAATTCTTTTTTGAAAGCATTTTATGAAATATAATATTTTAAAGAATATTTAATTTTCAATTTATCACTTTGGAACACTGTATTTTCTGTTTTCACTACTGAAATATTTGCAAATTCTTTAAATTCTTATAAAATTCATTTTAAATAAATTTCATTTATTAATTTTACAAAACGAATTATTTAAATATTAAATTATTTTCATTTTGAAATTTGTAAATCTTTGTTTATTAACAATAATTTGTGATAATTGAATAAAAAATGTAGGAGATTTTTATATTTTTTACAACAAAATTATATGAAAATAATATTATATTTGAATTAAATACCAAATTAAATTGGTAGGTAATGAATTAAAAACAAATTAATTAATCTGAATTTAATTTTTGCAATAGATAAATTTTTTAATGTTTACAATAAAGTATAAATAACACTATTTTTTAGATAGATCCATTTTCCACAATGTTGTCACTATGGAGTTAAAAATCATTTTCTCTTTTTCTTGACTTTTCGCTTCAAGATTCTTATTATGATTTTATAGAATTAAAAAAAATTTTTTCCTTCATTATTTTTTCACTCAGAAGGTTTTCTCTTTCTTTTTCAAGACATTTTATGTAATTTCACCAAATCGATTATTTATAACCTGTCTTAAAAAGTTGAAAGTCGAAAAGAGATAGATTCTTCTTCCACGATAGAAAAATTTTAATTAGAATGTTGGGTATTATAATATTATAATTATACAATTTTTATTGCGAAATTTGAAAAAGTATATGTAATAGAGTCTATTTTTTTATGAACTATAAATAATAAATATTAATAAATATAAATTTTTCATAGCTTTGATTTTTCAAATTTAATAGATAGAACAACTAATGAAAAATAACCAATGGAGAAATTAATTTTCCACCTGTATTAATGAAGTATCGCCGGCAGCGAGTAAATTTAGTGCTGAAAGTAACATCCATCCATTGCTCGACTCCTCGCTATTTTCAATTTCAAGAAACTTAACAATAGCGCAACTTGCTGTCTCTGTACTTTGGTTACTCGCTCTTCGTCTAATTTCTGATACCATCAGTTTCGATACTTGCTGCGTAAATGGCAAAATGTCCCAAAATTTCTCATTCATATCGCCCGAAGGACTAGATCCAAATACCTAAAATAAATTAAAAAAACCAATTTATTCACTAATTATTAAATTAGAAAAATAATTAATTCCTTAAGCAATAATTTACTAATTATCAACTAATTATTAAATTTATTAAAAAAATTATTTTCTAAGTATAGGTACTAATTTACTAATTATAAAGTTAAAAAAAATAACCGGGGAAATGTGCAAATAAATAAATAAAAAATGCTAAATCATTTTGCAAAAAATAAATAAATTCTCCGGCATTTTTTCAAGTAAAGAAATATTAAAAATTTTTGACTAAAATTTTGTAATTGATAGAAAAAAAAGCAAATCAAAATGTCCTCACTGGAAGTCACTAAAGTGCGAGAGTTCTTTTTCGGTGTATGTAGTACGATACTTAAAATGCGGTATGGGAAAATAAGTTATGGTTGTAATTGAATACCAAGGGATGTCTTGGGCCATCAAGTTTCTTTCAGAAAATCCAATAAATCAGGATAAAATAAAAATAAACCACGAAATACTTTTTACAGCACTTTAGTGTCATTCTAGCCAGAAATTTTTAATCCTCAAGAACCATTTTTCTTCGAGATTGACAAAAAATAAAAAACAAAAAAAGGAAAATAAAAAAAATGAAAACGGGAACGGAAAATGAAGAAAATGAAACTGAACGGCTTTTCCGGTCTACAAATAAATAAATATGCAATTAAATAAACAAATATGTAAATAAATGAAATGAAAATAAAAAAGTAAAATAAAAAATGAAAACGTGAACGAAAAATGAAGAAAATGAAACGGGACGGCTTCTCCTGTTTATAAATAAATAAGTGAAATAAAAATAAAGAAAAAGAAAAAGAGAACGAAAAATGAAGAAAATGATACGAGACGGCTTCTTTCGTCTATAAATAAATAAAATGAAAATACAAAATAATAAAGTTATAAAAAATATAATATACTAAAATAAACATATACTAAATAGTAAAAAATAGTAACATCAGGCCTCAGATTGACTTTAAGGAGCAAAAAAAAATCGCTTTAGTTGATTAAAAATACAAAAAAAGTCGTAAAAGTCGTTTATTTAATTCAGTGTTATCACAAAAATCATATTTTGTATTTCCCTGTTCTTTCACTGATTTCTAAATTCAATTATTTAAAACCTAAATAATTTCGTTAGATAAATATTTAAATACAAAAATGTTTTCCAAGGGAAAATAAAATTTTTTAAAATTCAATTTAAAACCTAAAATTTACTAATTGTTAAAAATTACAAATAGGATAACTTTTCCAAAATTAAATTACTTTCTACAATTTTTAACAAAACTTCATCTCAAAATCAATTATTTTTCATAATTTTCCGAAAGTTCTTCGAGAATTCAATTATTTAAATACAAAAATTCAATTTTTTATAATAATTGCAACTGCAACTGTAAAAGTTATTAAGGTAGAATATTTTTAAAAAATTATAATATAGAAATTCTTAAAATCAATTTTTAAAAATATTTTAAAATAATTTTGTGAAAGATAATAGTTTTTTTCTAAAAAATTATTTTGAAATTCAATTATTTTCAAAATTTTTAATGAAAATTGCTTTAAAAAATTTGAAGAAAATTTTTTGCAAGAATTCAATTATTTTCAATATAATTGTAATTAAATTCCTCGAAAAAATTGAATTATTTTCAAAACTTTAATTAAAAATTATTTAAAAAATTTCAATTATTTTCAAAAATTTTAATAAAATTCTTCTCAAGAATTCAGTTATTTTCAAAAACGATAAAAAATTTATAAAATAAAATAAATTACTTTCAAAAGCCGTTAAAATTATTCACAAGTTAATTTTCAAAAATTGTAATAAAATAATTGAAAAATAGCAATTATTTTCAATTAAAAAATTATATGAAATTGAAAAATTTTAAAGCAATAGAAATTTGGTAAAATCTTTTATAAATAATTTAATTTTTGAAAAATATAAAAAACAAATAAAATTTTAATTATAAATATGAACATGATTTCTCTGAAACTCTTATATATGTCTAAAAAAGTAAAATTTAAAAAGTTTTTATATTCTTTGTTCGAATATAATCGAATCATAAAAAATAGCTATAATAAAAAATTCGAAGAATTAGTATTTTAAAAATATTTTAATGTAATTTTTCGAAAATAATTAAATATCTTAAAAGAATTTTTTTGTATAATTTAAAAAGAACTAATTTTTTTTTTTTGAAAAATTGTAATTAAAAATTGTGTTCATGATTATTTTCTCCAAAAAGTTAAAAGAAAATTCTTAAAAAATTGTAATATTATTATTTTTATATGTGTTTGGATTTTTGGAAATATGTAATTGACAATATTAAAAATAATTGAATTTTAAAAAAGTAGAATAAAAAAATTCTAAGAATTACTTTTTTAAAAAATATTTTAATATAATTGTTAGAAGATTCTGTAAATTTTTTCTGCTCCCTACCTTGCAAAATAGTGGTAGCATGTTGTAGAGTTTGTCATCTCGTTCAGAATCGGAGAGATTCTGTGGGAGATGATTATACTCCATAAAGAGCTTCTTAAGATGCATGAGACCAAGTGCAGTGTGTTGAGGATTCGCTCCACCCGAGCAATCATCTAAATTTCCACTACCTGTCGAACCCATCACGCTAACACTTGCACTTACGCGCAATTTTCGCATAATATTCATTCTCCCTGATGTACTGCAAAAAAAAGAGCAATCACAATATTAAAAAAAGAAATTCACTCTTCAAAATTATTTTCAAAATAATTGAATTTAACATAATTTAAAAATAAATTATAAATTCATCAAAATTTAGATGTATAATTAAAATTTATTTTTGAAGAAAATTAAAAGTAAAAATAATTTATTCACTCTATAAAGTAAAAATAGAAATATGTACTTCTAAGTATATAATTACTAATTCTAAATATATAATTACTAATTTCAGTTCATTAAATTTTAATTGAATCTTATTATTAACTAAATCAATATTCATTTAAAATTAGAATATTCTACATTTATCTGTAATAAAAACTGTGATTCGCAAATTAAAAATAACAAAATTCAAAAATTAAAAAATAATATTAGTTCCTAAAAAAATTTGTAAATAAAAAAATTCTTATATTAACAATAATTAAATAATCAGTTATTAAAATCAAATTAAAATCAATAAAGAAATTTGTAAATTAACAAAATTCGTAAATAAAAAAATAAGTAAATTTATAAATAAAAAACAAAAACATTTTCAAATTAAAAATTATAAAATAAGTAGCATAACAACGAAATTTTGGTTGTCATTGTTTACTTTAAAAAATTCGCTTTTTGAAATTTAATGAAAATTCTTCATTTTTTAAAAAAACATAATTTTTCTAACAGTTTTTCTTTAAATTTAATTATTTAAACAACTCGCATAGAAATCGCCAAGATATTTCTAACAGCAACTTGAATCTAAGATATGTTTAATTAAATAATTTAACTTTCCAGTGATACTCGAGTACCACTTGAACTGTCCTAGTAATAAGTTTATTCTAAATTTTAAAATTAATTAATTTTAAAACGAAAATAATGTATTTAATAATTTTTTAAAATGAAAATTTTAATATTTTTATACTTTTGCTTCCCTTAAATTTTCAAGGAATTTAATTTAAAAACCTTTTAAAATTTCATTAATTCCTAAAATTCCTGTTATAACGCTTTAAATATGTAATTATTTTATAAAATTTTAACTGAAACTGTTTTTAAAACAATTTCTGTCAGAATTCAACTACGAGCATTGAATTATTTAATTAGAATAATTTTTGTAAATTCATAAAATAATTGTATTTTTAAAAATACAATTATATTTATAGATAATTTTTAAAGATGAAAAAAATAAAATTCTTTAAAATATAAAATTTTACAACATTTTCAATTGTTTTAATTTTTTAAAATTATTTTCGGGAATTCAAGTCTATCTTTAAAAAATTTTAATTACTATTTTTAAAAATCTAATTTTTTCAGAATTTCCACATTAAATCTTTCAAATTTCAATCATTTTTGTACAATAAATATTTAAATACTTATTGTTCTTTATTTGCTTAAAATTTTAAAATATTTTCAATGTAAAACCATTGGAAAATTTTTTTATGAAAATTTGAAATGCAAGTCTTTTAAAATTCAATTATTTTTTTTGAATTTTTGAATAATATTATTGAAAACTTTTAATTTTCAAGAAAGCTTACAAATTATTATAATTTTTTACATTTCAATATTATGATATACTTTTACAGCAATTAGAATTTCAAAGATTGAAATTTAAAAACTTTTTTAAATTTATTTATTTCTAAAGAATCCTACTTTAACACTTGTAATTATTTTCTAGCGTTTTAACTAAAATTCTTTTTTAAATCAATTCTTATCATAATTCAATTATTTAATTAGAAAAATAAATAATTCATAGAATAATTAATTAATTATTTTAAAAGAATTGCAACTGTACCTCTTTATTGAATTTTTGAAATTGGGGTTAAATTTTCTTACTCCACTTATTTTATTATTTACAAATTAACTGTCAAACTTTTAACATAACAATTAGAAATATAAAACAAAAAATTGGAATAAAACAATAAATAACAGGGTTGCCACAAATATTTAATTTTATTTTTCCCTGACTTTTCCCTGATTTCCAGACAAAATTTTCACTTTTTCCCTGACCATAAAGAATATTCTGATTCACTCTAAAAATTATTAGATGCTCAAAAAAACATTGTATTACATTTACTTACGAATTTCTTAAATTGTAAAATTATTCGCAAACATCAATAACTAAATTTTTAAATAAGTATTTAATTATTATTTTTCCATAGGAATTAAAATTCTTCAAAACATTCAAATTCAAACATTTTTAAAATTAAACAACAACAATTACTCCGAGTCTTCGACTCGGAGTAATTGATATCTTCATGTTTTATAAAAATTTTAATTTCCATAAAATTTTTCAAAAAAAAATTAAATTATTTACAAAAATTATACCTAATAAAATTCGTTGCAAGAATTAAATTACTTTCATAAATTAATAAAATTCTTCACAGGATTTCAATTATTTTTAATACAATTTTAAGTAAATTCTTCAAAAAATGTCACTATTTTCAAAAATTTTGTTAAAATTCTTCGAAAGAATTCAATTATGTATTTTTAAAAATTCATGCTTTTAATATTTAATTATTATCTAAAATTTTAACTAATATTAATTTTCAAATCAATTTTTATTGGCAAATTCTACAAGAATTCAATTATTTAAATACAAAAATAAATAATTTATTGAATAAATGAATGTTTTTCGTAACTAAATTATCATAAAGAATTTTATCAACAAATTTGAATTTTTGCGAGAAATTTTAATAAAAATTTCAAGAATAATTAAATTTTTCGAGGAATTCAATTAAAATTGTATTAAAAATAATTGAAATTCTATGATGAATTTTATTATTCATGAAAATAATTGAATTTTTGTAAAAAATGTTATTATTTATGAAAATAATTGAATTATTGCAAAGTTTGCTTAGAATTTTATCAAAAAAATTTTTTTTTTTGAATAATTGAGTTCTTTTAAAAAATTTTATTAAAACTGTAGATATTGAAAATCATTGAATTGAGAAATTTTTTTTTGAAAATAATTGAAATTTTGCAAAGAATTTTATTAAAATTTTTGAAAATAATTGAAATTTGGAGAAAAATTTTATTATTTTGAAAGATTGTTGAATTTTTATGAGAATTTTTTTTTATTTTTCATCATAATTGAATTTCTGCGAAGAATTTTATTATTTTTGAAAATAATTGAATTTCTGCAATCATTTGTAACTTTTTTAAAATTCAATTTTTTCCAGTTACTTAAATAAAAATCCCTGACTTTTCCCTGACCAATTTTACTTTCCCTGACTTTTCCCTGAATTCCCTGACCTGTGGCAACCCTGAATAATTATTATTGATCAAAAAACTGTGTAAAATTTTCTTTTATACAAAAATATGATAATTCAAATGGAGAAAAACATTTGTCTTCCTAAAAAGTTGATAAAAAACGTGAATTTTACCAATTCGTGATTTGAAAATAAAAAATTCGTATATTTAAAAATAATAAAATAATTAGTTATTAAAATCAATAAAGAAATTTGTAAATTAAAATATTTTGTAAATAAAAAAATATGTAAATTTGTAAATAAAGAATAAAACCATTCGCAAATTAAAAATTATAAAATAATTAGTTCGCAAATAAAAATATATAAAATTCCTAAATGAACAATGAAGAAACTAATAACTTCTCATGTGATGAGAATGTAAAAATAATTAGTTTGCGGTTTTTAAAAAACAAAATAAAAATAAAATATAGTTCGTAAATTAGAAATTAAAATTCAGTAATAAATACTTGTCGATAAGAACCTAATTATAAATTAACGAATAACTCGTAAACTGATTAATTATTTATAATTAACACTATTAACAGTAATTTAAAAAAGAAATTAGTGACAATTTGTCCGCTGAGTTATTATGATGCAATTAATAAACAAATTTACAGGAAGTAAAGATACATTTTTTCAAACAAAATTTTCATTTAAATGATTCAAGTGTTCAAAAATTTTTTTCCATTTTGAAAAACTTTTTTCGTCTATTACTTAATTTTACAGAGTAAAATTTCAAAGGACTACAAAATGATAAGTGGTTTTTTTTTCTATATAGGACAATAGTTGCGGCATAATAGTGGGTCATTATTTAAGTATGCAAAGAAACTACACGTTCAGGTTAAACGGGTTTAATGTTCTAGTTTCAGTGTGTGATAAAAAGAGATAACATATTATAAAAGTTGAGGTGACAAAAAAATAGAGAAAAAAAGAATAATAAAACTAGAAAATATAAACAATTGTTTCACTTTAAAAATAAAAATATTAGATATTGAATATATAATTTCAATGTATACATATATAAACAGTAATCTTTATTAAAATGTCATTATTCGTTATTTTTAAACCTGTTGTGTTCGATTTTTTTGTCTCCTCTCTCTAATACTATTATCATGAAAAATTGATTTCGTGGATAGAATAATAAAAAAAATAAAAAGACAAGAGAATATGTAAATTTCCCACACAAGACACTAATGAATATTTATCAAAAAAAAAAAAAAATCTCAAGTGAGAGATTCAAGAATAAATAGAGATAAATTAATATTTGACATTTTACCCCTAAATTAAAAATAAAAAATTAAAATCAATTTGAACCATCTGGAAAATGAAACGATTCAAATTGTCGAAAATAATATGAAATGTAAGTACGCTTGTCAAATGTCAAGTCAAGGCAAAACTTGATTGTGAAAAAGAAACAAATTTTAATATAAAGCATGAATAATCAATAGTAAAAAAAAATTGTTCCCCAAGGATTTTTAATTATCTGAAAATATGCTTACGAAAAGCGATGATCAAATTATCAACCAGAAGTAAATTGTTATTCCTCCTGACAATTGTTTTCATTCTATTGTAAACGAATGTCAGTAACAAAATTAATTTGTAATGTCAATTGTTTTGAACATTTAGAATTTGCTTGAATGTTGAGAACATTTTTCTCTATTCAATATTTACTTCCACCTTCTGTCAAAAAAATTGTTTTATATATATGTATAATGAAAATGTCCACACACTCTTCTAAAATACGTTCACGGTAACCGCCCACTATTTTATGTTTTGTAAACATTATAATGATAAATTACACATGACACACAAAAGAACACTTGGGGTTTTTATTATTACCTCTTTGACAATTTGTGAAATGAAAAAATTCTACATTTTCGTTGATGAGAAAATTAATTTTTCGTCAGGAGCTTTTAATATTTTAGTGGCAGTAGCCATTTTGACATTTGACGTCTTGTTTCGGCCCACGCCAATGCGATACGTCGATACTGATCACGTGATCACACTAGTGGCGTCTGCTGGGAAAATTGCGGTAATTTTGAAATTTTTATTTATTTTTTAAAAAGTGGTAACTTTATTTCAATTTATATTCCATTTATTCTTCCAATTTCGAAAATTTTTGATAACGAAATAATTAAATTTTAGTAATGAATTAAAATTTCTGTGCTATTAAACTTATTTTTCTTCTTTTTAATGTATATCGATCTGTATTGATTCGAAACGGAACATAACCTCGAAAAAAAGATGGATTTTAATTTTAAAACGCGGGACAAATTTTTAAATAGTATTTAAGAATAATCAGAAGAATCGGGATTTTTTTTATTTGGGATTTTTGAGGAACTTACTCGATATCTTCATTTGAATTTTCAACTTTTTTTATTGATAAATATTTCATAAAATTGGTAAATAAAAAATTTCTCGACGCTTTTAATTTATAAAATAATGAAAATAATGTTTTTGTAAAAACTGTAAAAGTAACAGAAGTATAAAATATCATCACATGTAGAATTATGACTCTTATCAAATCTATTATATACTATAAAATCTAAATATGTACATTATTTGTTTATCATCTTTTTTAATTTGTTGCTAAAGGCTTAAAAGTTATAAATTTTTGTCGATCCTAAATAGTTTATCGCCTTGTTATTTTAATCATTTTTTTTCTTCAAGAAGAAAATTTTTATCTTTTCTGAAAGACTTTTGCTATTAATATGGCCTCAAAGAAAACAATGATTATTTATGAACGATTTAGACCTCGGATCGACTTTTAGGCGCAAAAAAGTCGCTTTAGTCGTTTAAAAATCAAAAAAGTCGTTTATTTAATTTAAATAAAATGTTGTCGCAAAAGTTTTATTTTGAATATTTTCCTGATTTTCCCCTTTCACTGATTTCTAAATTCAATTATTCAAAACTTTAATAATTTTGTTAAATTAGTATTTAAAAATACTTAATTATTCTTCTACGGAAAATAAAATTTAAAAAAATTACAATTTAAAACCTTGTGAAATTTAATAATTTCTAAAAATTGGAACTCCAAATTCAATTATTTTCTACAACTTTTAACTAAACTTCATCTCTAAATCAGTCATTTTCAAAAAGTTAAAAAATTTTTTTCGTAAGAATTCAATTATTTTCAAAAATTTTAATAAAATTCTTCTAAAAAATTCAGCTATTTTAAAAAACATTTAAAAAATTTTTCGTAAGAATTCAATTACTTTTAAAATTTGCAATTAAAATTATTCAAAAGTTGATTTTCAAAAATTGTAATAAAATAATCGACAAAAACCAATTATTATTTTCAATTCAAAAACTATTGTTGAATGAGTTTAGTTATTTAATTATACATATGGAATTGAAAAATTTCCAAACAATTTAAATTTGGTAAAATCTTTTTAAAATAATTTAAATTTTGTACAATTTTTAAAAATAATTGAATTTTTGAAAAATATTTTTTAAAAAATCAAATTTTTGAAGAATTTTAATTATAAATATGAACACGATTTCTCTGAAATTCTAATGAGTCTAAAAAAGTATATTTTAAACAATTTTAATTTAGATAACTTTGTTCGAAAATAATTGAATTTCTTAAAAGAATTTTTGTATAATTTAAAAAAATTAGAATTAATTTTTGAAAGAATTTTAATTAAATATTTTGAACATGATTATTTTCTCCAAAAATATAAAAATAATTTTAAAAAATTCTAAAGTTATTATTTTTTGAATCTATTTGAATTTTTTGAATATTTTTGTAAAATCATTTAAAAATAATTGAATTTTTTAAAATATAAAGAAAATAATCAAATTTTTGAAGAATTTTAATAAAAATTTTGAACAAAATTACTCCAAAGTGTTAAAAATATGTAATTCTACAATATTCCAATGATATTATTTTTCGTATCTACTTGAATTTTTGGAAATATTTGTAATTGAAAATATTGAAAATTAATTTAATTTTAAAAAATTAAAATAAAAAAATTCTAAGAATTACTTGTTTCAAAAATATTTTTATATAATTTTTAGAAGTGAATTTTCACAAATTTTGATTTTTAAACTTACACTTGAAAATGTATCATTATTGGTATTTGTTTGAATTTTTTGAAATATGTATTTGAAAATATTGAAAAATATAGAATTTTAAAAATGAAATAAAAAAAAATTTTAAATCAAAAAAATTCTAAGAATATTACTTTTTTCAAAATTATTTTAATATCATTTTTAGAAATTAATTTTCATTTTAAAATTTACATTTAAAGAATTATCATTAAAATCTTTGAGAACTCAATTATTTTCAAAATTTGCAATTAAAATTCTTCAAAAGTTAATTTTAAAAAAATAAAATACTTGAAAGAATATCAATTATTTTCAATTGAAAAATAAGTTTTGAAATTTAATGGTTTTTCAATGAAATGCAATTCCAAACAATTGAAATTTGGTGAAATCATTTAAAAATAATTGAATATTTGAAAAATATAAAAGGATTAATCAAATTTTTGAAGAATTGTAATTAAAAATTTTTTTCTCTCCAAAATACTAAAAATAATTGTAAAAAATTTTAATTATAATTATTTTTTTATATGTATTTGATTCTTCAGAAATATGTAATTGAAAATATTGAAAATAATTGATTTTATAAATTAAAATGAAAAAATTCTATAATTACGCTAGTTTCAAAAATATTTTAATATAATTTTTAAAAGCTACTTTTCATTAAGTTTCGTTTTTAAAATTACACTTGAAGATTTGTTATTAAAATCCTTGAGAATTCAATTATTTTCAAAATTTACATTTGAAATCCTTCAAAAGTTTATTTTCAAAAATTGTAATAAAATGCTATAAAAAAATCAATTATCTTCAATTTTCTTTTACAAAATTTCAGATATTCAACATCGTTTTAATCGTATATTTCAAAAATTTAATTAGAAAAGTTTGAAAAATATTTTTTTTGGAAGTATTGTCCATAGTTATACATTTTACACTATAGAATTGGAAGTCAGTTGTATTTTTAACTAAAAATGCGATATATTTTGGCATTATTTGGAAAAAAAAGTTGAAAAAGTCGCGATTTTTGAAAATAAATCAAAAAAGTGTCATTTTTTGAAAATAGTCGAAGAAAGTCGAAAAGGTCATAATATCCGAGGCCTGGGTGTTTGTAAAATTTTTGTCGTTAAAATGTTTTTTCACCTCGATTGGGGTTTGAAAGCTAAATTGAATTCTGTTTTAAACATTTCTCGATAGTAGCTTTCCTTGACAATTTCCTCATTCGGAACACCATTTTCCTTACATTTATTGACATATAATTTGTGCATGGACGCTATACTCAATCCCGAATCGAGATATCTTAATCCATTTGGATCTTTGAGATTCTGTGACGACTTTTCAGTGGGAAATGATTTAATGTGCTCGCGTATCCGATCGCGGACAATTTCACTTTTTTTACTTTTCGGCGTGTGTCGACCACGTTGATCAGGACCTATAATTCCACCTGGTGACGATCGTTTCTTATCCATGGCGTGGCGTACGAATTTTTCCGATACGGAAAATGTACTGAGAAACATACTTTTACAGACAGTTATAAAATCTCCGTTTATCAACAATGAATAAGTGAAGGTGATTTGTCTTCGATTTTCCGATTTCACTTCACCACGACATCGCGTTCGTTGCTTCGGCGATTCCTTAACCATTAAGGCAATGTATTGCTTACGTTGTTCCCAGGTGCATGTCTTCCAAAAAACACCGTGTAATTGTTGACGAGATGTTTCGTTTAGTTTTTCATTGCATCGCATTCGACAGTCGCATGGTGGGCCCATTACTTTTGCCGGGACGACTTTTCCTAGAAGGAGAAAAGTATGAAATATTAATTGTTTTATAAAAAATATTAGAAAATTGTTAATTGTAAAATTATGATTAAGAAATAGGAAATATAACCATTTTATGCAAACATTTTTATTTTTCAATAACAATATTGTTCACAAATTCATTCTTTTCTTTTGAGAAAAAAAACATATTCCCGTTTCTTAATATTTTTGGAGAAAATTCTCAATTTTCACAAGGAAATAATTTGCATCATTTCTATTTCTTAAGGGCATCCGGGAAAAATCAAGCCCAAAAAGTGTTTTCCCGCGTGTCGTCTCACTCCTAAATAATTAGAGATATTTAGTTCTGATTTATCATGATAATTAGGGGAATTCATGATGATAAATAATATTCTCGAAATTTACAAGTAATTTTTGAAATAAATATTGAAAAACGAAATTACAAAAGTTGGATTTTGGGCGAAAGTGGGAGACAATATGGCGGTCAGCACACAGACAAGTGGATCTATGTGTCAGTGGTCAAGGAGGTGGCGCCAATTCTCGGAAGTGGTCGCGAGTTGAACTGAGGGAAATGTATTAACCTCAAATTACTCCACTTTCAATCGTTAATAAAATAATTTCCTCGCAAAATTATTGCAAAAACGGAGAGGGCCGCTCCTCGGAGAGTCTTTCTCTATCACCCCTCCAAATATGAACCCGAAATATTTTATCCTCTCAAAATGAGACGTCTATACTGAACCGTGAAAAACCTCTTTTTTCCGTATATTTAAACAATTTTTTTCAATAATTATTTATCAAAATTTCTCCAAATTCCGAGAGGACCGCTGGTCCCAGAGCATTTCTCTATATTTACCAAAAAATCCCGACTCAAAATATTCTTTTCTTTTTAAATGAGACGTCTATCACGAAACCAGTATTATTTCCCGGATGCCCTTAATTACAATTGTTTTAAAAAAATTCAGTTTTTTAAAAATAAAGGAAAAAATATTGACAAATTCTATTTATCGATTACAAATTATAATTGAAAATGAAATTGAAAATTTTTAAATTTTTTAAAAATAAAGGAAAAAACTTTACTTAAAAAAATGTTGTGTTACATTTATTTGCGAATTTCTTTAATTATAAAATATTATTCGAAAACATCAATAACTTCTTTTTTAAATAAATATTTAATTATTATTAATTATCCATAGAAATTAAGATTTTCAACAAATTTCCAATTCAAGCCTTTTTGAAATTCAACAACTTATAAAAATATTTATTATAAAACATGAAGAAATGGATTACTCCGAGTCTTCGACTCGGAATGATCCATTTCTTCATGTTTTATAAAGAAATGGATAATTCCGAGTCGAAGACTCGGAGTAATCCATTTCTTCATGTTTTATAAACAATTAAAGCTGATTGAGTGATAAAATCAATATTTTATAATTATAAGAATATTGTCACTGTAACTTCTTCAAAATTATTTTCATCATTTCAATTCAATAATTATTTTCTAGAACTTTTAATTCTAAAATTCTTCTCTAAATCAATTATTTTTAATAATTTTTGAAAAAGTTCTTTGAGAATTTTCAAATCCATTTGTTTACAATTCAATTTTACAAACTTTCGGTTATTCGGAAATTCTTCAGTTAAATAATATATTAAAAAATAAAAACTTGAAATAATTTCAAAATTTTTTTTTTTAAATTAATTCTACAGAATTGTCAGTTAAAAGTATGAAAAATTCAAATTTTCAAAGATTTTAATTTGCAACTTTTTCAAAATTCAATTATTTCTAAAAATTCAAACTGTAATTCTTTTAAAATTCAATTATTATCTAAAATTTTAACTGAAATTCATTTTTTAATCCATTCTTACTAGAAAATTCTACGAGAATTCAATTATTTAGATTAAAAAATAAATAATTTAAATTGAATATTTGAATGTTTGTTAAAATTGAATTCTCATAAAGAATTTTATCAACAAAGTTTTAAATAATTGAATTCTTTTGATCAATTTTAATCAAATTTTTAAGAATATTTACATGTTTCGAGGAATTGGATTAAAATTGTATTTAAAATAATTGAAATTCTGCGATAAGTTTTATTATTTATGAAAATAATTGAATTCCTAAAAAGAATTTTAGTATTTACTGAAAATAATTGAATCCCTGTAAAAAATTGTATTATTTTTGAAAATAATTGAGGCCTTGGATCCAATAACTCGCCCGACGCTCGAAGGCACGCGCTAATACCAGTCGGGTAGCAGTGAGTGGCCCAGAGGCGCTCACTGCTCACTGACTGGCAGTTGCGCGTTCCTCCGAGCGTCGGGCGAGTTATTGGATTTATTAAATATAATTAAATTCTTGCAACGAATTTATTATACTTTTTTAAATAATTGAATTCCACTGAAAAAATGTATTATTTATGAAAATAATTGAATTCCTGTGGAGAATTTTATTAAAATTTTTTTCTATAAATTTTAAGTAGATTTAATTTTAAATAATTGATTTCCTGTGAAATTTTTATTACATATTTATGAAAATAATTGAATGTTTGCGTAGAATTGTATTTAAGTTTGTTTTAAATAATTGAATTCTTTTGGTAAATTTGATTAAAATCAGTTAAAATAGTAGATATTAAAAATCATCAAATTACGAAAAATGTTTTAAAATAATTGAAATTTTGACAATAATTGAATTTTGACAAAGAATTTTGTCTATCTATAAAAATAATTGGATTCTTGACGAAAATTAAAAAAAAAATTTTTAATAATGGAATTTCTACTAATGATTTTATTACTTTTGAAAATAATTGAATTAATGCAATTTTTTGTAATTTTTTTGTTTAAGTGTTTTTAAGTAATATTCTTCTATAAATCCATTATATTTAATAATTAATTAAATACTAAAAAATATAACATAACTTCAGAAGAATTTGAATTTAAAAATTTTTTTTTAAATCTAAGTTCTTTAAAATTTCTGATTAAATTCATATAAAATTTCAAATTAAAATCTTTTGAAGTTCATCTATTTATGAAAATTGTAAACGCAACTCTTTTAAAATCCAATTAATTTTGAAATATTTAAGTAAAATTATTAATTAAATAATTTATAAGTAATAATTTTATGAAAGTTCTTAAAGAATTAAATTATTTAAAAAGAAAGTATTGTCAGAAATAGAAAAATGTGAACGTTTTGTATTAGAATTCATGTCAATTTCATAGTTTATGAGGCAAACAAAAAAGATACCAAAATTCAGAATTTTCTTATGAATTCTAAAAATTTAATTTCTTCCATTACTTTTAATAAAAATCCCTGACTTTTCTCTGAATTCCCTGTCTCAGAATATATGATATTATTATATATTTATAATAGTATTGAAACTATATACGAATAAATATGGAACTGGAAAGAATCACTAATTTTTAAGATAGTTATACACGGAGAGAAAAAACAAGGCTTTTACCTATGAAAAAATATGCATTTAACGCGTGAAAATTATCACAGTAAAAATGCAGGACGCTCACGGGTTTTCCCGGTGAGATTCTTGCAACGAGTTAAGGCCAATAGGGGCTAAGGCATGGCCTAACCGCTAAACGCAAGAAATTCATCGGGAAATCCGGTGAAACTGCTACCTGAAAAAGGCATGAATTGAAGTCACAGGGAAAAGCCTTGTTTTTTCTCTCCGTGTATATAATAATTGTGTATATAATAATTTGCCATTGGTTGCGTTGATAATTTAACCAAATTTTAAATTACGCACCTCCAACGCCGATATATTCCTCTCCTCTTAATCTGGCATTCTTCTTAACATTCACTTTCCACTTTTCAGGATGTTTCGAACGTTTAATAGCATCTTTTGCTTCTTTCGTTGATTTAACTTTCTTAGTTCCTTTCATTTTTGTTTCCTTCTTAAGAATCTCCTCTGTAGTTTGTAAAATTATGGATTGTTGTGGTTCTACCATGTGCTCTGGAAATTATTTTCTTTGAATACATTTTTTTCCATTGATATATTTATTTTTAAACTTGAAAACATACGAAAATAGTTTACCTAATAGTGAATAAGTTGGAACATTACTTGGACCTTCTTCTTGACTTAATTGCATGTTAGAAACATTTGACGCTTCACGCCACCATTGAGCTGCAATTAAAATTTAAATAAAACTTTATACATGCTTCGAACATAATAATTAATTTAAAAAATGTAGCAAAAAGTAGTTTTAAGACTGAAGAAATTACTGAAAAAGTAGCTATCGAAAAATAAAATTTGACGGCTAAAAAACTCGTTTTAGTCAATTTATAAAAATCACAAAAATTTGATTCTGTAGTTCCTTGATTTGGAAATTCTGAAAAAATTAGGTTTTTAAAAATAGTAATAAAATTTTTTAAAAATAGACTTGAATTCCCAAAAATAATTTTAAAAAATTGAAACAATTGGGAATTTTGTAACATTTTATATTTTAAAAAATTTTATTTTTTCATCTTTAAAAATTATCTATAAATATAATTGTATTTTTGAAAATATAATTATTTTATGAATTTACAAAAATTATTCTAATTAAATACTTCAATTCTCGTAGTTGAATTCTGACAGAAATTGTTTTAAAAAAAATTTCAGTTATAATTTTATAAAATAATTGCATATTTAAAGCGTTATAACAGGAATTTTTTAGGAATTAATGAAATTTTAAATGGTTTTTAAATTAAATTCCTTGAAAATTTAAGGGAAGCAAAAGTATAAAAATATTAAAATTTTCATTTTAAAAAATTATTAATTATATTATATTTCTTTAAAAATGCTTAAAGTTTTTCAATAATTTTATTCAAAAATTCTAAAAAAAGTAATTGAATTTTGGAATTACAGTTGCAATTTTTAGAAATAATTAAATTTCGAAAGGTTTTATCATTGAAATGGATTTAATATTTTAATGAATTTTATTTGTTTATTTTTTAAAATTATTTTGAAATATAATCGTATTTCTGAAGAATTCTAATTTTATTAATTTTTTTCTTTAAATAATTGAATTCTTTAGAGAAATTTTATTGAAATAGTTGATATTGATAATACTTGAATTTCAACGAAGAATTTTTCAAAAGATTTTTTAAAATAATTGAATATTGTCTTAAAGAATTTTATAAAAATTGTTTGACTGCTTTTAAGAAGAATTTTATTAAAATTTGGAGAATAATTTTTTTATTTCAACTAATAGTGAATTCAAAGTAATGAAATTTTTCAAAAAACAAAGAAAAAAGTTGCTTTTAGTGTCTCAAATTTGAAAAAAGTTTCCAAATGGTAGCTAATCATAAAGAAAAGGAGTAAATAGTAGGTTTTAGTATATTATAGTATTTTTTTCGCATTCTCTCTTTATCATAATTTAAAAATTTCTATTTTAAATATAAAAATATTTCAACTCACTATTATCATTATCAAATTTGTTGTATGAAGTTTGTACTTCCTGCTGATGAAGAGGAACGACGTAATTTCTCTCATCGTACCAAGATTCTTCTCTTTTAAAACTTTCTTCATCAGGGTTGTCAGGATTAATATTTCCCAGTACAGTTTGCTCCATTTTCTATTAAACTCATTATTGAATTATTAATTAATTAATATAGTATAAAAGTTATATTTTTATATCTTAAAATATATCTTATACTATTCAATCTTTGAAAAGAAAAACTTAAGGAGCTGTCAAAGTCGAGGCAATTCAATGGAAAAGTTGACAAAAAACCAACTCTGACATAATAAATAAAATTAAATATAAAATAAATTAAAAGTAGAGTAAACGTAAAAAGTAAGTAAATCTTTACTCAAATAAAAAGTTGAGTAAAAGTAAAAAAATGTAAATAAAAAAAATACTTACGTTCAAAATATTCGTTTGGAGGTTATGTTCGGTTTTTCATTTTCTATATATTACATTTCGTCAATATACATTTATTGATAAATAAAATCGATGTTCATTATTTAAGCCCTCTAATCCTCATGATCATATTAGGATTCACATTTGACGTCACAAATCTCATTTACTCAAAAACTAGTATTCTTGTTTTCACTTCGACGAAGTTAGATTTAAACTCTAACATTTTTTGTCATAAAAAGTTTATTTTCATACATCGAAAATTACTCTTAGTTCTCTGATGTCATCTCCAGATAAATATTGCTTTCCAATCATTGTTAGAAGTCAATATATGTAATTGTTAATAAAGTGAATCTTAAAGATCTTGAACTATCAAGCACTGGTGAAATTGCGTATATTGTTTACACTTACGTAAGTTTTTAAAAGGGGTGTGTTCTCATTTTTATCAGACTTTTTTTTGTTGTTGTCTCGCAATAAACAAATTTCATATTCATTTCTTTATCATATGTTTATAAAATATACTCAAAATAAACAATTTTCCAAATATTTTTTTTTTTTTTTTTGAAGACATTTGTTATTTTTCTGACAGATGGTAGCACCCACCCGTGAAAGTGAAGATATACTTTAGTTTCAGTTTCTACCACTAGGTAGACAAACAAAGGAGTCAATTGAATCTGTCTCAAAAAAAAATTGTTCCGTCTTGTTAAAATTTTTCATGCCGGTTCTAAAAATGTTTAATTTACTTTTCAATGACGAACATTATCTGTAATTGTTGTTGAAATTTTCGACAAAATGTAGTGAAAATCGTTGTTTTGTGTCTTTTCCTTTTAATAATTGTGTTCCATTATTGATATATTCTTTTGAGGTTATATGGTGAAAGGATTTAATTCAAGGTAAGAGATTTTTAATTTATTTTTCTGCTCCTCTTGACTTTTCAACAAATAGTTGATAATTTTGATGTTTATAAGAAATGTCAGTGAATTTATTCTATTTCTATAGAAGTTGGGTTATAAATTTCATCTAGTACTGTGGTTGGAATACAATTCGTGTAAATGAAAATTAGATAAAAAATTGCGAATTCATTTCAATTGAATTTTATATTTACTTTTCTATATAGAAATAACACACGTGCTTTTTGTTTATTTATGTTATGTTCAATTGAACATTATGATGTTTATATTGTTTTTAATGCTCTCGAAGAAAGTGTATTTAGTTTTTAAATTACTCACGAATGAAAAGGAATTCTTTTATATATGAATATAACTTTTTTTAAGTGTTAAAATTTTATTATTCATCTTACAATGATCGATGATTTTTACGTTCACATTCATCTCGTATTCAGGTAACCTTGACGTCCTTGCATGATTACCTTTTTCGTATATCTTACTTTCAAGGTCTTTTTATCTTCTGATATTAATTACTATTATTACTATTCATAATTTACGAATAGTTTCCATGAATTAATATTTTAAATTTTATATTTAAATTTTAAATATATGTAATTTTGAATGAATGGGAAATTAATTTGGAAATTTTTTTTTTAGTGTACAATAATTAAATAATTTATCTCTTGACTCTAATATGTCAAAATAGAATAGAAAGTCTAAACCATTGAAATTAATGTTTATAATTATTTTTCTAATATTATTGACAGAAATCTCCATATATTCTCATGGTCTAGGGTCATTGAAAAAATCAGACTTCCCTCTAACTCCTTCGATAGCTCAGTTGGTAGAGCGGTGGACTGTAGTTGGCTTCTTAAGAAAAATAGTAATCCATAGGTCGCTGGTTCGAATCCGGCTCGAAGGAATTTTTTTTATTTTTTTTAATTAAAATTTTTCATTACCTTTTATTTCATTTAGTTAATGATATTCTTTTAGATATTTTTAACTTAATTCTTTTTAATCTTCTAAATAAAAAAAAACTTTTTTTAAATTAAAATTTATTAAAAATAAAATATAATTTATTTTAAATAACTTAATTTTTGAAGATTTATCATAAAATTATAACTTAGAAATTATTTAATCATAACAATTTTACTTAAACAATTCAAAAATAATTGCATTTAATAAGAGTAACCTTTAAAATTTTCAAAAATTAATGAATTTCAAAAGGTTTCAAATAAAAATCTTTGAAAATCTGAATTTAACATACGTATTAATCAACAATTTTATAGAACTAATTTTTTGAAATTTATTTCAATTCTGTTAAAATTAGTTGAATTTTTTAATACCTATTTAGTTATTTCAAAAGTTTAAATTAATTTTACGAAAGAATTCCATCATCTTGATAAAAAACAGAATTCTTCCAGAAATTCAATTATTTTTAGGAATTTTTATAAATAATAAAATTCTTCTCTGAAATAGATATTTTCAATATCTAATATTTTAATAAAATTTCTCAAAAGAATTTAAATGTTTAAAAAAAATTAATAAAATTCTTTGAAAGAAATTATTTTCTAAAATTTCGATAAACATTTGTTTATAAGAATTAAATTATTTTCATAAATAAGAAAATTCATCGCAAGAATTAAATTATTTTTGAATTTAATTTTAATTATATTATTCGAAATAATTGAATTCTTTTAAATTTTTATAAAATCACTGAAAAAAATTCAACTATTTCTAAAAGTTTTAACAAAATCCTTCGCAAGAATTCAATTATTTTTACAAATAATAAAATTTTTTACTGGAATTCAATATTATTTCGAAAGTTAAAACGTAATTTTTCAAAAGAATTTCATTATCTTGATAAAAAACAGAATTCTTCCAAAAATTCAATTATCTTTAGGAATTTTAATAAAATTTTTTGCAAAATTCAATTATTTACATAAATAACAATATTCATCATAAGAATTCAATTATTTTCAAATGTAATAAAATTCTTAGCAGAAATTCAATATATTTAAAGTTTTTTTAATTATCTTCAAGAATTCAATTATCTTTATAAATTGACAAAATTCTTCGTCAAAATTCAATTATTTTCAAAAATTTTAATAAAATTCTTGTCAAAATTTCAATTATTTTCATAAAATTTACCAAAAGATTTCAATTATTTAAAAAAATTTTTAGTAAAATTCTGCGCAAACATTCAATTACTTTCATGAGGAATAAAATTTTCACAGAAATTCAATTAGGGTAAGTGTGCCAATTATGGCGCGGTTCTGGTTTAGCCGTCTTTGAAATAGAAAATTCAAAAATTATAATGAAAGAAGTAAATTTGTGGCTTATTAAACTAAAAGCCCGTGTCATATAGATAATAAAACTTTTATAAAAACTTTATAAAAATTAATTATTTAAACAAAATTAAAGCAATAAGAATTAGGATTAAAAACGTCAATTATGGCGCGGTTGAGTCAATTTCGGCGCGCCAATTACGGCGGGGAAAATAACGTGTATTTAGAGGTTGTGTTGCGCGCCATAACTGGAGCACGCACATTCAATGAAAATGTGCCAATTATGGCGGGGCACAATTTTTGTACTTAAATAATTAAACCAATAATAGTTCAAATGTGTTTTTTTTCGTACAATTATATCGAGTAAGGTCGAAAAGAACTTTTTCTATCATTTTCAAATAACTATATTATTCTAAAATAGTAAATAATTCTATTTTTTACAAAGTCGCCATAATTGGAGCATCCGCCACAATTGACACACTTACCCTATTTAAAATTGAACTTGCCTAAAATTTTAATAAAATTTTCCGCAGGAATGCAATTACTTTGACAAACAATAACATTTTTGAGTGTCATTCAATTATTTCAAAAAATTTAATAAAATTTGTTGTAAGAATTCAATTATTTTTAGTAAATAACAAAATTCTTCTCAGAGATTGAATTATTTTTTAAAAATATCCCTAAAGCTCTGAACGTTCAAATGAACGAAAATTATTTATTTCTTTTTTATATTCAAATTTTTAATATAATATTACGATTCTAATGGTTTTATTTTGTTTTTGCTGTTTATGTCAGTTAGTAATTTTTTGAAAATATTATAGGAATTCAATTATTTAAAATTGAATTTGCATAAAATTTTTCGAAAAATATTTTTAAAAAGAAAAATATTTTGGAAAAGGTTTCGAATTTTTTTGAGTGTTTAATAATTTTTAGAGTGAATCATAATATTTTTTAGGGTCAGGGAAAAAGTCAAAATTTTGTCTGGAAATTAGAGAATAGTCAGAGAAATACAAAATTAAATTTTTGTGATAACCGAGTTAAATTAGAATTTTTGTTAACTTTAAATGTTGGTGCATTTATACCATATGAAACATTTATCATCTCATTCTAAATGAAAAATATAGATTTGCAAAATCAAAAATTAAATATGCAATTTTATTTATTGCTATTCTACACTGTTAAAAAAGGGGCCAATTCAGTACCGATTTGGATACTAAATCGTCCTTTGGTTATAATTTAATACTGAAAATTATACACTGAAAAAAAATTTATTTGATTCAAATAACCGATTACTTGACTATTATCAATTAAATATTTAATTGAATCAAATAATATGTTTTTGAGTCAATTAAACGGTATTTGCTTCAAATACTAAAATTATTGGTTCAAATACCATTTAGCTGTCTTCAATAAATATTATTTGATTCAAGTAAATATCTAATTGATCAATTTTTAAAAAAATTATTATTTTATTAAGCTATTGGGGCCTTTTTTATTTGTAGATAAAAAATAGGTAAAATTTGATGTATATTTATTATGTGTATAATAATTATTTTATAGATTATATATTTTGATAATTAATAATTATTACACTCTTTTAAAATAGTTATAAAAAAATAATGCACATGAAACAATGGCCTTTTTATTATCTTATATTTAAAAAGTTGACATGGTCTTCTTCTGGGGAAGATTAAGTAGTTCTTGAGTACGATTTCTTACGCCATTGACGGTGAAAAATGGGTTTCGTGTGGAATAGAACCGTTGGGAACTCGATGTCCTGGCAATGCATTTTCACGAGGTATTTTCACTGTAAATGGTGACATTGGCAAAGCGGTCAATTTTCCGCAACGTTGTTCCTTGAACACAAAATCCACATTCACGCGTTTGTCTCGCCCGTGTATATTTTACTTTGGATAATGCTATCTCCGAATATCTTGCCAGTTTACACCCACATAAAAATTCCAACTGACGTATACTGTTTTAATAGATTTCAATAGAAATTTCGGCAAATTCAAAATCTCACATTTTTTAAATACACAAATTACAATTGCAACGTTGCAATTGAAAATAATTGCACTATATTTGCTTTTTGTATTTCAATATAGGGAAACCTGGAAAACCTGGAAATGTCAGGGAATTTTATAAACTTTGAAAAAACCTGTAAAAGTGAGGGAATTTTTATCGAAATCCTGGAAAATTGTTGTTTTCTAAATGTTACTGTGTTTATTCTTGAAATCTCTTACATATTTCAAAATTAATTCAATTTTAAGAGTTGCATTTACAATTTTTATAAGTAGATGAACTTCAAAAGGTTTTAATTTGAAATTTTGTAAAAATTCAATTTTAAATGAATTTAGTTAGAAATTAAAAAAAATTTTAATAACTAAAATTCTTAGGAAATTAGTTAAATTTTTTAATATAGATTTAATTAATTGATTATTAAAGATAATGGATTTATAGAAGAATTTTAGTTAAAAACACTCAAACAAATTAAATTTTGAAGCCATTACAAATGATTGCAGAAATTCAATTATTTTCAAAAGTAGTGAAATTTTTCTCAGAAAATTAAACAACTTTCAAAAATTTTAATGTCTAAAAAATGACTTAAAAAATTGTTAGGGGTTTGTTTTAGATTATCCAACTCTTGAAATTGATTGACTGACTAACCATTAAAAATGATTGTCCAATAATGCGACTTTAAAATTTTCAAGTTGTCCC